AATATATTTTCTTTAAACCTTTTAGAATGAAATACAATGAGGTGAAAAGGTCGATGTTGAACTAAAGCAACACATTTTAAAGGGTGATTACAGTAGCAGGATATCTAGTTTAGTACTTTTCTTTGCCATCTTTACTTGAACTTAGTGATGTTCTTGCAACATTCATTATCATGTGCTTCATTTTTTAAAATTATTTACTTTCAGTCAAGTATATTATCATTTTAGATTTACAAGAAACGTTTGAACTTCCTTTTTTACTTTCTCGTATATACGTAGTATAGAGAAAGTATTGTAATCGTGCAAAAAAAAAAATCGAGATTTTTACAAATCTCGACGTTTTACACCTCACTGATACGGAAAAACATAATTTTGCAATCTTGTCCGTATGTCTGTGTGTGTGTGTGTCTGTGTGTCTGTCTGTCCGTGTGTAAACACGATAACTTGAGTACCGTTACAGCTAGGTTGATGAAATTTCATATATAAGTATTTTATCAAAATCGTAGATCCGTATCAACTTTTGAGCGATTTCCGATAACCGGAAGTGGTACTTTTCCTACTTTGAATTTTTCAAAAGCCTATAACTTGAGTACTATTTCAGATAGATAAATGAAATTTCACATGTAAGTAAAAGATCTAATTCTCTACCTTCTGTTAAATTTTGAGTAATTTCCGTTGACTGGAAGTAGTAATTTACGCTACTTCCGATTTCTCAAAAAACTAATGTAAATTTTTAAAGTACTAATAATATTGCGCACTATTATACGCGTTTTTATTCGGCGTTTGCTTGGTGCGCAATGTTTTTTTTATGAGATTCTATTCTATTTTTAAAAGTTTAAGTATTTAAAATGGATTAAAAATCATAACTATATCCCCAGTTACCATCCCCTGTTGTTTTATATAAGAATATTCGAGAAAGTTTAGGGGAGATCACTACCGGTTTATTTCTCTTTGTGTTTACGAGTTTCACGATATGGACTTTACATATCTATAACCTATATAGTACAAAGTTGATTATCACAATCACCATATGTAACTGCGCAGTCAATACACATGAGTAATAGCTGTAACAGATTTTTCATCATAAACTCTAAAACTTGTATTAAGAGTACATTACTATCAGCTTGCTTCCGGATTCATTGCGTAATGCCAGAACAAAGGCACTTTACCTGAAATAGATATGTGTATGCAGTTATGGAACAGATGTCAGCTTGGGATACAAGGTAAAACTCCGCCATGATTACAGATATACATCTCTTAGTCATTATATAACACCGGCAGTAACATCTGTAGAACAATCGAACTACCAATGATTCAGCCATCACATGATGTAGTAACATAGAGTCGATGATGAGTTGATGCTCTTTTAATAAACATACACTGGCAATAAACCATTAACCTTAACCAAAACCAATTTTTTAAATAATGTTTTTTTATGTAACTCCACAACTACCTGAATCTAAACTTTAACTTCCCTATAAAATAACCAAAGCCTTACATTAATATATCACTAAAACTGCATTTTCTAAATATTATTAAAACTATATCTTTTTTTAAAAACACGAAAGGTTTTAATTCATTTATTTTTCAGTAAACGTAACCCACAGTATTAGAAAAAAAATATTTTAACAGTATTATTTTGATTTAATAAAGACCGTTTGAACCGTTTATTTATTTATTTTTCAGTAAAAACCAAAATAAAAATTTACTTATCAACTATAGTATATAAATTTTTGTTTCTCGGAATAAAATCTATAAACAAATGGTTCAAATATTGCATTGAACTAAATTCGACTTTTTAATAAATGCTTAAAAAAAAAATTCATAAAAAACGTTTTAATAACAAGCTTTTATGTAATAATGCACTAAACAGTAGAAAATAAATTATAGACTACTATTTAAATAACTATAAAGAAAAGCGTGGGTCACTTTAGTATCTATTGGATACCTTTACTAATGTTAAGGAAGACACCCACGCTTTTCTTTATAGTTATTTAAATAGTAGTCTATAATTTATTTTCTACTTTTTACTTTCTCGTATATACGTAGTATAGAGAAAGTATTGTAATCGTGCAAAAAAAAATCGAGATTTTTACAAATCTCGACGTTTTACACATCACTGATACGGAAAAACATAATTTTGCAATCTTGTCCGTATGTCTGTGTGTGTGTGTGTCTGTGTGTCTGTCTGTCCGTGTGTAAACACGATAACTTGAGTACCGTTACAGCTAGGTTGATGAAATTTCATATATAAGTATTTTATCAAAATCGTAGATCCGTATCAACTTTTGAGCGATTTCCGATAACCGGAACTGGTACTTTTCCTACTTTGAATTTTTTTAAAAGCCTATAACTTGAGTACTATTTCAGATAGATAAATGAAATTTCACATGTAAGTAAAAGATCTAATTCTCTACCTTCTGTTAAATTTTGAGTAATTTCCGTTGACTGGAAGTAGTAATTTACGCTACTTCCGATTTCTCAAAAAACTAATGTAAATTTTAAAAGTACTAATAATATTGCGCACTATTATGCGCTTTTTTTATTTGCGTTCACTTGGTGTGCAATTAATTTGTCTACGAGATTTTATTCTATTTTTAAAACTTTAAGTATTTAAAATGGATTAAAAATCATGTCTATAGCCCGAGTTTCCATCCCCTGTTATTTTATATAAGAATATTCGAGAAAGTTTAGGGGAGATCATTCCCGGTTTATTAGTGCATTATTACATAAAAGCTTGTTATTAAAACGTTTTTTATGAATTTTTTTTCAGTACTTTACATGTTTTATTTACAATAGAGTTACATGACTAAAAACCATTGCGCGCCTACTGAACATCACGTTCAGTAGGCGCGCAATGGTTTTTGAACGCAGCCATTGAACGTGATGGCGCAGCTATTGATGGTGATGACGCGTGTGGTGTGGTTGGCTAGACATGCCTACTAATTCGGTCCAAATTTTTATTAATTCATAAAAAATTAATGAGGCATCCAATTAAGTCAAATTTAGTTTCAGATTGCATTGTCTTCATGTCTTGACCCACGTGTCAAATGTGAATCGTATCGGTCAAGTAGAAGTTTCCGAATTTTCACTCCTGCGTTTCGATCTAGACTGACGACAGACAGACTGGCGACGACAGAGGAAGTGAGTTAAATAAAAGCTTGTAAAAATGATTGCATTTTGCTAGATTAGCTAGAACTATGTTGTTCATGAATACACCAACACTGCAGGTCGCTAGACTGCTGCTAACTCGAAAGTCTCGAGTTCGAATCCGGACAAGTCAGTAGAACGTCCTTGAATCCACTCAGCCCTTATGGGTACCTAACTCCCGTTAGGGAGGGTAAAGACAGATGGGCATTGTGCTGACCACGCTATCCCTTCATGTGCCGAGTTACAGAAACATGTGAACTCTACTTCACTTGCCCCATGGACATTCAGGTTTGAAAAGGGAACTTAGCTTATTGCAGCTAAATTAGCGCAAAGATTTTATTAATTACCCACCTTTTAAAACCACCTGCACCTACGCTCGCAAGAGTAGTCTCTACAAATTATGGTGGCTCGTCTACACTGAGCTTCACCACTTTAAAGCTCTTCAAGTCTCTATAAATTAGGTAACGTTTTTAGTTGGCATATTTATATATGTATTTTTGTCTTTACGTACTGAGCTAAATATAGAAACGTAGAAAACATGTGAAATTTGAATATTTGTGAAACGAAATTAGGCGCTTTTTATATTATTTTTATACGATCTTATTTACACTTTTATTACTTTCTCGTATATACGAAGTATAGAGAAAGTCTTGTAATCGTGCAAAAAAAAAAAATCGAGATTTTTACAAATCTCGACGTTTCACACCTCACTGATACGGAAAAGCATAATTTTGCAATCTTGTCCGTATGTCTGTGTGTCTGTCTGTGTGTCTGTCTGTGTGTCTGTCTGTCCGTGTGTAAACACGATTACTTGAGTACCGTTACAGCTAGGTTGATGAAATTTCATATATAAGTATTTAATCAAAATCGTAGATCCGTATCAACTTTTGAGCGATTTCCGATAACCGGAAGTGGTACTTTTCCTACTTTGAATTTTTCAAAAGCCTATAACTTGAGTACTATTTCAGATAGATAAATGAAATTTCATATGTAAGTAAAAGATCTAATTCTCTACCTTCTATTAAATTTTGAGTCATTTCCGTTGACTGGAAGTAGTACTTTACGCTACTTCCGATTTCTCAAAAAACTAATGTAAATTTTAAAAGTAATAATAATATTGCGCACCATTATGCGCTTTTTTATTTGGCGTTCACTTGGTGTGCAATTAATTTGTCTACGAGATTTTATTCTATTTTTAAAACTTTAAGTATTTAAAATGGATTAAAAATCATGTCTATAGCCCGAGTTCCCATCCCCTGTTATTTTATATAAGAATATTCGAGAAAGTTTAGGGGAGATCACTCCCGGTTTATTAACTATCTTGGTTACGATACGGTCCAAACACAAGTGCATATATATGATTCAACAGTAAAGTTAAGGCAATTTTAAATGTATTGTTCAACATGGGATTATTTACGTGGGTTTTTATTTTGTTGTTAACAAAAAAATCAACAGGACCTACACACGCTATATTCTACAACAATAATTTTAAAACTATCAAAATGACAATTTTAGTAATTCCCCAACGTAAGACCGGAAGTAGTCGAGTATTTAATAACTATATTGCTAGCTACTGTAGAGTAATGAACATTTGTAGCTTTTCTGTTCACTATAACGATGTGCTCTTTAATATTTATGTGCTGTAGCAATATGTACATATTCTTTCCATTTTTTAAATCAATTTTTTTTATTAATTACACCATTCGTTTTTGTAACTAACTGGTAATTTTATAATTTATGAAGCTGTTTAATAAAAATCGTATTCAGTTTTATGAAGATAATAAAGACAGGCTGAGCAAAAATGTGTAATATCAACACAACAATATATGCATTAATGAAAAAATAAACAAATGTTACCTTTTTTGTGATCTTTTATTATTTAATCATAAAACATCTATTTCTCATCTTGACAAAATAAAATATACTTTTCATTAACGTATTTTATGGTAATAAATTACCATAAAGTCAAAACTAGTTTAAGGCTGGGTCTGTTTAGTTATCGATCTATTGATCTCAGCGACCAAGCAGGGCCACTGCAGCTACTGTGCCGAGGGTTCCCCAGAAGCCACGTTTTGTTTTCCTCTTCTCCACATTAGACTCTGCGTTGTCCTGTTTAGGAACACACAAAAAACATTTATTGAAAGCGAATTTAATAGCTATCTAGACATTATAAAGTTATTTAGACGTAGTTCTGATTTTCCTGTCGCTGTGACTCCTTCTTGCATCTTGTAACACATGCGTGGGGGCATTGTTTCTTACAGACTTTTTTCTCAGAAGGATGGGGCACTTAAAATTTCCGAGGGGGGGGGGGGGGGCGGACGCTGCTAAATGTATATATTTTTATATAAATTCCATTTCGTACGGGGGGGGGGCGAAAAGATGCCTGGAAGAAACTCTGTGTGGGTGTGGGGATAAAGTAAATCTTGTCATATGATCAACACAGATTTGAGCATCTGATAGTTCATTTGATTTTATACAGCATTCACTCCTCTCGGTGTAGCGAGCAAAGATTGGGGAGCAGATGAGGTCATCAAAAGCCGCATTAGCAAGGTGAGATACACATTTAAAACCTTACGCACAATCTGGAAGTGAAGAACACTGTCTACACTTTCCGAAATACAACTTTTAACAGCGACCTGGAATTTTTTTTTTCTGGTTCTGAGACGTCAAGAGTGACACTAAATGATAACAACAAACAATAGATTGTCTTCGGCAGATGACTTCCTTGTAATTTGAACATCATTAGTCTGAAAAAACTATCGACTCCATACTAGGAAAAAATGGACAAAACCATGGTGGCAAAAAAATATTTTAAAAAACCCAACTGGTTAGGGATTGGGCACACCTTGCGCAAATCAACAAAAACAAGTAATTAAAAAAAAGTCTAGTGACAATTTTAGCGCAATTTCCTTATGTTATCTAAAAATAGCTCTGTCGTAGCGTAAATCAAGAGCAGGGTTAGTAAAACCATTGGTTAGTTATTAAAACGATTTTTATTAATTTTTTTTTCAGTATTTTACATGTTTTATTTACAATAGAGTAACATGACTAAAAACCATTGCGCGCCTAGCTACCGAACGTGATGTCGCAGCCATTGAGCGTGATGGCGCAGCTATTGAACGTGATGACGCGTGTGGTGTGGTTGGATAAAATGCCTACTAATTCGGTCAAAATTTTAATTAATTCAAAAAAAATGTTTGTGACCGAACGAAAGGATATTTTTGAAAACTTTCTTCGGCAATATTGTTCTAAATTATGACAGGAATCGATTGGTACATGTTTCAAGTCGCTAAGTGGTCTGGTTGCCGAGATATGGGGAAAAAACTGCATTTTTTTTGAGTTTTTATTGCTTTTCCGGGAAATCCATGAAAGAAACCCGGAATTTTTATGGCCTATGCTCATCATCGTAACTTGCTTAACATAATTGCTTTTGGAACTAGTCATCGATATTGCTTCGTTGAGGAGGAGATACGACTTAAAGCTGCGGACACACATTCATCCATTCATCCATCCATCCAGAAATGACGGGTTAATAAACGCAATTCTCCAGAATGGAAATTGCGCTAAAAATATCATTATATTGGAATCCACAAGGGAAGAGGAAAGTAATCAAGCCAAAACAAACTTGGAAAGATAAGAGTTTAGTGAAGCATAAGCAGTTGGAATGTCGTGGAGTAATTGCCTAGAACCGAGTCAGGTGGAAAGGTGTGGTCCATATGACGATGATTAAAATGATGATGACGTTAATGATGATGACGATAATGATAATGATGATGAAGATGGTGATGATGGTGGTAATAATGATGATGGTGATGATAATGATGATAATGATGGTAATGATGATAATGATGATGGCGATGATGATTATGATAGCGATGGTGATGATGATGATGATGATGGTGGTGATGATGATGGTGATGGTGATGGTGATGGTGATGGTGATGGTGATGGTGATGGTGATGGTGATGGTGATGGTGATGATGATGATGATGACGATGATGATGATGATGATGGTAATATTAATGATAATGACTTACACAAAACTCCAAAACGTGTTACGGTTAGGTTTTCATTTTGATTTAGTGTATGTACCAGCTTTATAAAGATGTGACACAGACAAGCATAATAAAGCTAAAATAAAGACAGTAAAATCACTGTTCCAGGTTGCAAACAATGTGTACCCACCTTTTTCTTTAGACCATTGTAGGCGTTGACTGACCGAAAGCCCCTAGCCGATGCTGCGTCAGCCACAATTACACTGGCCAAGAGGCAGAGAACCACGAGCATATAAGCAGTACGCATTTTGCTTTACTGAAACAATTTTATATTTTAAAAGTTGACTATGTTAACATAGTTTACAATACAAAATATAAAAAAAAAATTGTAAAAAACTGTATTAACTAAATTGTATAGCCTATATACAAATCATACCTGTGATGAAGTTATCTAAACTTTACAATATGGTGCTTAATCCAAACCTTGTCCGGGATTATATACACTTAGCGTGATTACTTCACAGTTACACCTGTTGGCTTGTAGGTGTAAAGAGATTATCTGATTTTATCTCTGGGGTGTAAGATTGGTTGTCCTCTGAGCGCTAATCTCACGCTGTGTCATAATTACAAATAATCTCAGTGAAGTTAATCACTGGTCTCTTGTAATTTATTTTTAGCAATCCAGCACAAAATGTTACCCAGACACGTGACACCCGTAACTGTATCTCGATTACCCGCTCAGCGTGAGATTAATTTGATTGGACACTTCTAGCCTATAAAACCTGGAGCTTTTACTTGAGAAGAGTTCAGTTCTCTATACAGGTAGGGCGTGTGTTGGTTTGTTAGGAGCTTTACATTACTGTAAAATATTCTGCAGCTAAGCGTCATTTTTTTCCTTGTTTGCCTAAATGTACATTCTCCTGCGGTGTAGATAGCTTCCTTTTTTTCTTCTTCTTCTATTTCGTTTTTAATTGTAATGTTTGAATTAAGTACTACGTGTCAACATGTTTTGTGCCTTATCGCCTATTTTTTCTGGATTTGCTTTTATAGTCTGTGTCCATAAACCGTAGAAGCTGTTTAATTTATCAGTGTTCTCTGTGGAGCCTTGTCAGCCCAGGGGTTCGAACTCGCGCCGTTTTGGTTTAGCAACTTTACCGACACGACCACGCCAATTTTTTTCTTAATTTAACACTCCATCCTAACTACAAGCACGTCAGTAATTACTAAGCATCCTGCATTCATTTCACCCGTCTGTGGGGCAGATAAAGTAGGGTTAATCTGTTTCAAAGACCTCGGCATATGAAGGGATAGTGTTGTCAGCACTGTGCCTAGACGCCTTTATTTTTCCCTCGGCTGACACAGGGAGGTTCTACTGACTCTAACCCGGATTCGAACTCGCGTTTTTCGGTTTAGCATTCTAGCTCTCTACCGCCGTATCTTTAGTAAACGGTTTAGCATTCTAGCTCTCTACCGCCGTATCTTTAGTAAACGGTTTAGCATTCTAGCTCTCTACCGCCGTATCTTTAGTAAACGGTTTAGCATTCTAGCTCTCTACCGCCGTATCTTTAGTAAACGGTTTAGCATTCTACCGCCGTATCTTTAGTAAACGGTTTAGCATTCTAGCTCTCTACCGCCGTATCTTTAGTAAACGGTTTAGCATTCTACCGCCGTATCTTTAGTAAACGGTTTAGCATTCTAGCTCTCTACCGCCGTATCTTTAGTAAACGGCTTAGCATTCTAGCTCTCTACCGCCGTATTTTTTAGTGAACGGTTTAGCATTCTAGCTCTCTACCGCCGTATCTTTAGTAAACGGTTTAGCATTCTAGCTCTCTACCGCCGTATCTTTAGTAAACGGTTTAGCATTCTAGCTCTCTACCGCCGTATTTTTTAGTGAACGGTTTAGCATTCTAGCTCTCTACCGCCGTATCTTTAGTAAACGGTTTAGCCTTATCAGGACTATCCAACAATAGACATTTTAAGTATTTTAACGTGCATGTTTTAGGACCACGGCAGTAAGCTTACAATATATTACACTAATTATGATTTAACTTATAAACCACCTAAAACCGAATAAAGTTTCAATATAAAAACTAATATTTTAAAATTACTATTTCAGCTATAAAAATGATTGCCGTTCAACTAGCTCTAGCCGCCTGCTGTTTGGTAGGAATCAGCTACGCCCAAGACGATATCCCCCAAACGGGTACCACGGCCATTCCGGTCAGCGATCTGGAGTCTCAGGCGACCGATGCTTTGGCTACACTCAACGATGTAAGTTTGAATACGTTTTTTAGGTTTCAATGCGTTATGTTACACTTGTAGCTTTGGCTACACTAAACGATGTAAGTTTGAATACGTTTTGTTAGACTTGTAGCTATAGCTACACTCAACAATGTAAGTTTGAATACGTTTTGTTAGACTTGTAGCTTTGGCTACACTAAAAGATGTAAGTTTGAATACGTTTTGTTAGACTTGTAGCTTTGGCTACACTAAAAGATGTAAGTTTGAATACGTTTTGTTAGACTTGTAGCTTTGGCTACACTAAACGATGTAAGTTTGAATACATTTTGTTAGACTTGTAGCTTTGGCTACACTAAACGATGTAAGTTTGAATACGTTTTGTTAGACTTGTAGCTATAGCTACACTCAATGATGTAAGTTTGAATATATTTGTTGACTTCTAGCTTGGACTACACTCAACAATGTTAGTTTGATGGTGTAAGTTTGAATACGTTTTGTTAGACTTGTAGCTTTGAATTAACTATGATAATAACAATGGCGTAGACAGGTGGTGTTAGGGAAGTAACGCCCCTTATAGATCCCCGCCCCAAACTGTTGTTTTGTGTTAAGATATATATATATATATAAATCTGTGTGTGTATTTGTGTGTGTACTAGAGTGTGTGATTGCGTGGGCGTGTGTGTCAGTGTGTGAATTCTAATGTGTATAAAGTCTCTGTGTGTAAACTGTAACGTTCTTAAATACCAACCTACCACCCCCCCCCCCACACACACACACACACATACTGAGAGAATCCTAGCTACCACGCTGCACTGTATAATTTACCTTCCATGCCCAGATACTGCGAACGAAAAAAGAAGAACAAATTGAAAAGAGAATACTTTGGACACGAGACGATGCGGCCAGCGCTGACCTCCAGGACTTAGAAGACAAGTTGGACCAGGTGGACGCCGCTATCGACGTCTTGTCCAAAGGCCTGGAGATTGCCAGAGAATCGTATGAAAAAGCCCACGGTGCGCAGTAAAAAGCACCAGCAATTTTTTGTTCTCGTTGGACGAAGAATCAAAATACGCAGCAAGATTTGTTTGTTATTGAGTTAACTTTCATAACCAAACCATCTACTAATTCTGTCAAATAGTTGCAATGTTAAAATAAACACGCTGACTATTTATAAAGCGAATTATAATATTTTTTTTAAATTATTTGTAATTTTGTCTGAGTTTACATTTAAATTCAATTTGGATGTAGCAAATATGCACAAACATACACACGTACATTCCACACACACACACGTGTGTGTGAGAGTGAGTGATCGTGTGTAAATGTCTGTCTGTGTGTCTATGTGTGTGTGTGTGCATGCGTGTGAGTGTATATGTGTGTGTATTGACAAAACATTCATCCTAAAAATGTTAAGTGTACTAGCAAAACAATGTTTCTTCCAGTTTCATTAAAGGCTGGCTAATTGTATAAATTACAGAATGCCGTACAGCGACCAGTTTGATTAATAAGTTTCTTAAAAGAACACATCTATATCAAATTTTAACACCGTCCCACACAAAAAACGAAATGAGCGGGAAAAAAGTAAAAGGTTACACATTTATTTACAACGAAACAAATTGTTTTATCGAGTGGTTTTAAATACTGGTTATAGTTAAATATTTTATTATCCGATTGGAGGTGGGGGCGACACTATATTGATAACTCCCCTGTGGAAATCGATTTCATTGAATCAATAACTGATTAAAGTTCACTGACAAGCATAGACTGACATTTTCTGACACTCTTGGTGACACCAAGATAAAAGATTGTATCTTTTATGAAGAAAACAATGCTTCATCTAGCTTAAAATTTATATAAACTGTGCACAGTTTCGACGTAATCGGGGGGAAAATGGCGGAGTTCCTGTGGCACACAGTGGTGGCTAAAGGCTAATTTTTACCGAGAAAATTAACTAAGTGTTCATGATTGGTGGGGGAGGGGGGGGGTATTTTTATATGCACTTTTTCTCTGACATTTCATGAGAATACAGTTCGTAGCTTCAAATTGTGTGATCTCTTATCATGTATGTTTTTAATGAAGAGACTGTTATTAAAAATGTACTCAAGCTGGCAGTTTATACACCGTGTCCAGTTCACCATCATGTGTCAGGGTTTCTTTCTGACAATTTTCTCCGAGTGGGCAGTTAAAGCTTTTGGAGGGTGGGGGATAAAATATTACGGGAGGTGACGACACTGGTTAAAAAATGTTTTCTATATAAATTATATATTTTTAATTCCAACCTGGGGGTGGGGCGCTAGACGTGTTTCAGTGGATCCAGCACCCCCTACCCACGAAGAGATGCATCAAAACAAACGCTTTAATGTGTTGTGTGAAGCGACCGAACTCGTGAAACGGCGCAATAGAGAATCAGTCATGCGGAAACACGTGTTAACGTGAAATGTCGCACTGAAGTATTTTATTACATAAGCCACGCTCAGTGCTGTGATTCAGTCGACACCATTCAACACGTGTTGCCAGGGGCGTAGCGAGGAGGGGGGGTGCGGACCGCACCGGGTGACACCATTTAGGGGGGTGACACCAAGGCAAAAAATAGCAAAATATAAAGAGAAAAACTCGAGGGGGGGGTGCAAATCGAAAACTCGAGGGGGGGTGCAAATCGAAAGTTTGAGGGGGGTGCAAATCGAAAATTTGAAAGTTTGTCCCTGGGAAGGGTCTATATGCCTCTGGGGGGGTGACACCATTAAGTGCCGCACCGGGTGACACCCGACCTCGCTACGCCACTGCGTGTTGCAACTAGTCATGTGAATTCTCGGGTCAAATAGAAGCTTCTAGAATGTTATTCACGCCCTGTTTGCCCCTTCCTATGCTTTAAATAAACCGAGTGCATCTGTTTAATGAGTTCTTTTCAAATTCATTCGTTCTTCTAAATTGAAAAAAAAACGTGAAAATGTCTTTTAATGTTCACTCAACCGTGCACTTTAAAAAGACCCATGTCTTTTCTTGATTCACTCAATGACAAGACTGTTATATAATACATTACCAAAATAGTTACTGAATTATAGGTCTAAAAGCCTAATATATTGACTGATACCTGTTTTAAAAAAATACTTCTGATAAAGCGCAGTAGACTTGTTATGGAAAAGAAAATTAGCTCTGTAATTTTTTTTTCTTAGTCATAAAATGGCTGATTTCTTCCAACATAATGTAAAATTGTGTGCCAACATAATATACGTTGCACTGCCGCTTCAAATCGACATCTGCCTTATTTTTCATCAAATTAAGTCAAATTTGATATCAGAATGCTTTGCCACGGGTCTTAATCCGCGTTCCAAGTTTGAAACGAATCGGTAAGTTAGAAGTGATTGAATTTGTGCTCGCATGTTTCGATCTATGACGGACGAAGCGCGACAGGCAAAAAAAACATACAGAGAAAACAAGCTAAATAAAAGCGTAAAAATAGTTATCTGTTTTACACAATACTAGAAAGATGCTTCAATGCTCGCATCATACCTGGAAACAAATTTTTCAAAAGCTACACAAAAGACAGCCTGTTGATACTACAGCATTTCACACGGATTCGATCATAGTATTTATTAACATCCATCAGACCATTAAACAATAAGAATTTTTTTTTGAAAACCAACTGAAATTCTTTATTCTCCAAGGGGTAAACTATACTAAACTAAAAAATTATAAAACAATGATTGTAAGAGCCTCGGTCCAATGGGGACAGATATAGCGAGTGTGTCTTATATATATATATATATATATATATATATATATATATATATATATATATGTATATATATATATATATATATATATATATATATATATATATATATATATATTGTTTATGCTGTAGGTATGCCTCTACTTCAGATTGTTTGGATGTGGATTGCCCATCCACTAATCTCCCGGATCCGCCTCAGTTAGATAATATATTATTCTAGTCACTCAAACAAAGTCTAGGTTGGTGTCAAAGTTGAAAGTAAAATATAATCCTAGACAGCTTATTTAGTTTGTATTGCATGGAATAAGTGTTTGAATTCCGACTATGTGCATGATTGCCGTGGCATCACTCGGTCGGGTATCAACCGGAGCGATAAGAACGCTACACCCTACTTCTTTCAATTTTGGATTGTTCGGTTTCGGTGTCACTCCTATTTCAACTGTTTTTTTAACTTACTAAAACATTGTTTTATCAGTAAATAAATTGTAAGATTTTTCATTGTGGTGTCTCCCCTTAAATGGTGTTTCCCCTTACAGATCACACCCCGCCCCCCCCCCCCTCACCTAGTGACGCCACTGGATGATTGATACGACCATCGTACTTGATTCATTTTATTAAAGCTGCTTTTGTAAATTTATGGTCAAATGTTTGTGATGAAGCAATTAAGCACTATTTACTTCTATGAAAAGCAAAACAGTTAAAAGTCTACAATGGGGTAATTCATACATGATGTCACGTAGCTTTAGCCTCGCTTAAATTCTAACCCCCTCATGCTATGTGGCGTACAAAAAGCCCAGACTTCTTCTATAATGATGCCATCCAGTCCCCTACAAAAACAATTTTGTTTAAAACAAAAATTAAAATATATTTTATCAATTGTCATATTATTATGAACGACACCTAAGTATGAAACATTGTGATTGTTTATGAATTACCCCTGAGTACTAAGTTTTCTTATACTATTTTTAAAAGTTAAATTAATTTGAAAAGAATCAAAAGATTAAGTGTGCGAAAGATAGAATGAATTTTTAAAAATATTCTTGAAGTCCGACGTTTCTTTAGTTACGTCTGTTCCTCATCTTGGTCTGCTCGTGCTCCATATTTCTGGTGTTACAGCGGTCACCAGTACAAAAGCACGTGATTTCCTTCTTGTGAGTCAGGCAGCCATTGGCTGGGATACGTAGACCTGGGAACTTGCCGTCTGAACATCCACGGACAACTAGTAAAAGGCAAAGAATAGTTTTGATTTACTCATTGTCGATTACGTATTTGAACAAACAGAATTCAGAAGCTGTTGTTTGAACAACTTGGTGTATTTTTTTACTGCTTTATGTGAGTTTTAAAAATTGAAATTTGTAAAACAAATGTAAGAAATGTACTAAAAACGAATAGACTGTAAATCAAATGTATTTTATAAAATAGCGCACCGCCCCGCGCGTTGCTGCGGTCTCAGAAAAAGGCTGACGCAATATTTAAAGAGTATTTAATCGAAGTGTTGCAATCATTTATTTTTAGATTAGTGACCTTGTTTTCTAAAACGTAGTTACTTGAATGTCAACAAAGGCGGCGCATTATTTCTTGGATCATAGTTGTCAGGGCGCGGGTTTATTCACACGACCACCAAGAAACCCTCCCCCCCCCCAAGATGTGCAGTATGACGGACTTGAGTATACGTAAATCACCCTGCGTAATGTTGATTTAGATCAGACTTCGGTTAAAACCACCGCAGATACGTCATGTGCCACCGTATCCCTATTGTAGGTTGCTCTTTAAAACGAATGTAGTCGCAACAGTGCTCACAGAGGAGTCCTTGTTGAACTAGAGCCGTTGCTAAACTAGAATTGTTCAACTTGGTATTGTAATCATGCAGTTAGGACTCACACACTTGCCCTTGAACCTCTGGACAAGGTTAAGGTATAATTAAACATTTGACTCACCTGCCCGTGAACCTCGGGTCAAGGTTAATGTACAAGTAAACATTTGACTCACCTGCCCGTGAACCTTGGGTCAAGGTTAATGTACAAGTAAACATTTGACTCACCTGCCCTTGAACCTCTGGTTACAGTGGACATACAAGGTCCACTACACCTGGCGTAATGAAACTTTGACCACGCCCAGATGTTTCCATTGGCTGGACACATGTCGTTCTCGCACTCGCCGTAACGCCCACTGCTGCACCTGTAGCAGGTGTTGTAGTCCCTGGGTGGGGCTGGGCTCAAGGCTGTGGTCGTCTCAACTGGCACGGGGCTGAGGGTCGTGTCCGTGGGTGGGTCTGAACTCATGGCTGTTGTCGTTGTTTCAGGTAGCGAGGGACTGAGCGTGGTCTCCATAGTGGTGCTAGGTTTACAAGTATAGTCTAAGAATAGTTTGAGAATTTTGTCCAGAGCGTCACCCAGTTTCTGGGCGTTGTTGCCAGGACAGAGCCGAGTTGCTGCTTCCATACTGCAGTTCTTCTTCTGCTCCAGATACCTGGATATGATAACAGACATGTTGATGGGTACAATGCTGCTTCTTATAGTGTGTTGTTGGAAAAAGTAAAGTAAACTACACTATCCATTTATATGCCCCCATGGACCGTCAGGTTTGAAATGGAATAGTAGACTGCTTTCTTTTTACTTAGAACACACTAGACAACACTGACATAGTCTACTCTAGACCATGCTTAATACAAGTGATTTATGAACACGAAAAATCTGCGTATAATAGCGCGGAATTTTTTTTTATATATGAAATTGTAATTAATTTTTTGAAAATTAATTAGGTATCCAATTGAGTCAAGTTGGATGTCACTTTGCATTGTCTACGGATCTTGACCCACGTGCAAAGTTTTAAAAGAAATTGGTCAGTCAGAAGGGGCCAAAATTGTGCTCCACAGTTTTAAACCATGACAAATGAATAAGAGGCAAGTTAAATAACTAGATAGATATCTTTTAAGAAAATCATTTATTTATTTTTTTTTTCTGTCATTATTATATAAAATATTTTTATTAAAAGGTGTTTTTTTAATGATTTTTTTAAACACTTTAAATTTTAATGCAAGAGAATTGCACGAATAAAAACAATTTATCATACAATGATCACGAACAATTGCATATATAGCGCGGATAATGGTAAATTAGGAAATTTAAATAAATTCTTTAAGTTAAGTCAAGATTGCATTATCATCATGTCTCAACCAACATGCAAAGTTTAAAAGAAATTGGTCAATTAAAAGTGGTCGAAATTTCTATCGCCGGTTTCGACCTATGACGAAGCATTAAGCTCAACAGATCGAGAAACACGTTAAATAAACGATTGTAAAAAATGTTTTAATCGCAAGATTTTATATAATAATACACTAAAAAGAAGAAAAAAAATGATTTTCTTTCAATGTATAATAATGCACCACTAAGGAGAAAGACGTGGATTACTTTATTGTCTATTGGATACCTTTACTATAATTTAATAAACGACCCATGCGTTTATTCATAGTTATTTCAATAGTGGTGCATTATTATATACGAGCCGACCCGTGGCATATTATACGCCGCTATTTAGTTGTTGTTTTTTCTACTTTTCAGTTATTCATAATTTGTGAATTCGACAGTGCCAACGCTGACACTGAAAATATTTCTTTAAATCACTATAAGTAGCTCGTTAAGGACGATACCCCCCCTCCCCCCCTCCGTTAAAGTAAACTCCACTTAGTTACCCCCCCCCCCCCCCCCCTACGTTTAAAATTGTTTCAAACTAAATTATCTGCCCCTAATAGTCGTCACTAAACCCGGCTCTGTTTGTAAACATTTAGAGTGAACCACAGCTCACCAGACCATGTAGGGGTGGGGACGGTAGGGAGCGCGTTTACAGCTTGTTTTCTAGTGTCTCCCAGAAGAGAATTATATATATAGATACCTTTAAAGAAAATATGGTGCATGTGTACTTACAAGCAAATATCTTCCGTTGCACCACACGTATAGAAGGTCTCTGTAAACGTGCTATTTTGGAAACATGGATTAAAGTCCAGGAAATCTAAACATAATAAAAACAAAAGTTAAGATGCTTTTCCGGATTTTTATACTACTTTATAATCTTTTAAAATGTATTCATTTTTACCACTTTAAAAAAAAATCAAGTATACAAAAGAAATTGTATTAAAAAATACCTAACGCTTTTTACTTTCGTCCACGGAATGTTGAGTAAGTATTGTAATCGTGCAAAAAAAATCGCAATTAATTGTTATGTAAATACTATAACTTGAGTACTGTTTTAGTTACGTAGACGAAATTTCATAAAAATGTATAAGATAGTATACTTGGATATACGGAAGAGGGACTTTATTCTATTCCCGGTAACTAAACTACCGATAACATGAGTACACTTTTGGTTCCATGGAAGAAATTTCACACATACGAATAAGACCTTATTTATTAATCTCTGTAATTTTCAGTGACCTAAAGCTGTATTTTACGCTATGGTAATATTATATCATAATTTTTAAAGCAACAAATTCTTAGACCTCTTCGCCTTTATTTGTTTTCTAAAAGAAAAACGAGCGGTTTTGTCAAAAACTTTTATATTTCCATAGCCTGGTTGCACTGGAAGTGCTATCCCTACTATTATTGTTAATGTCTAGTTGAAAATCCGTTCAAACTTTACAATTAAGAAGAAATTATATTTTAAACATATACGATAATTTTAAAGTAAATCACTCATGCTATATATATTTCATTCAGCAAAATACTTGTTTGTTAAAATGCGATTCCATTTTCGTTTTAAAAATTTAATAAAGCGGTACTGCAGCCCACACTTGTTACTCAAAACCCACCTACATTACCGACCCAACCCCATGGGTTTCTACTCACCTCTAAATCCTGAACTCGAGCAGAGATAATCCACCAACCCTTTGTACAACATGAACTGTTCTTGTGCCTTCTTGGAACAGTTCGTGAATACCGGTTCAAAACACGATTTGGCGCTGTACATATTTAAATAAAGGACAAAAATATAGACACATTTTACAATAATATTTTAAACGTCCTGATAATTAGTGGAAAAAAACTTGCTATCTTTAATAAAAGAATTGGTCGTTAAGATATGTAAGAGATCTCATGAGCGAGCAATGCTTTTATTAAAGAAAGAAAGTTTTACTGCATCACATGCCTTCTTACACACCTCTCTACACATTATGACCCATATGTTGATGTCTACATCGACCATATGGCCCCATATCCTTAACTTTACTCTCCATCCTCTATACGCCTCGCTTACGCCTATTTCTACTCTACATCTTCCATACGCCTCGTTTACGCCTATCTCTCGCATAGAGGCACATCCAATACACCTATGGAGACCAAGGCTATCGAGCAAAAAATCTTCTACTAATGTAATACAACATGATGCAAACTTATATAATCCAAACTTATATAAAAGTCTCGAGTTCGAATCCGGGTCCAAATCAATAGAAGATCTTTGAGTACTGATGGGTTCCTAACTCATGTTAAGGAAAGTAAACTCGGTTGGGCATAGTGATTAACACTATCAATTCATATGCCGAGGTCACAGAAACAAAATTTTATTTGTTTATCTTCAATATTAATATTTTTAGAAAATTATACAAAATATAAACAAAATTTATTTAAATATATATTTTAAGTGGAAGTCAACATGATAGTTATAGAACCTTAAAGTTAAAAGGTGATGAAAAAAAATATAAAAAAACAATAAAAACTTAGTGATAACAACATAGTCTCACCTATGTAAATAAAATAAACGTGCATGAAACCAACAAGCACGTAAAAAATAAAAATATAAAAATACTTCTAATAAACTATATGTAGTACAAAGGGTGTAAATAAGATAAAACTTTTATGTAAATATTAAAAACCACCAATCTAACAGTTGCAACAAATAAAGCAATCACGCTTAACTTAATTAACACGACTAGACGGGAACAGGGCATTTCCCCCCTGTCAATTACCCCCCGGATATTTCCCCCCCGACATTACCCCCCAGAGTAATTACCCCCCCTGTCAATTACCCCCCTGTCAATTACCCCCCGCCCAGTAGGACATTACCCCCCCCCCCCCCCCAGACAGGGTTAGAGTTAGGGTTAGGGCTAGGTTTAGGGTTAGGTTTAGGGTAAGGTTTAGGTTTAGGGTTAGGTTTAGGGTTAGGTTTAGGGCTAGGGCTAGGGCTAGGGCTAGGGCTAGGGCTAGGGCTAGGGCTAGGGTTAGGGCTAGGGCTAGGGTTAGGGTTAGGGTTAGGGTTAGGGTTAGGGTTAGGGTTAGGGTTAGGGTTAGGGTTAGGGTTAGGGTTAGGGTTAGGGTTAGGGTTAGGGTTAGGGTTAGGGTTAGGGTTAGGGTTAGGGTTAGGGTTAGGGTTAGGGTTAGGGTTAGGTTTTAGGGCTAGGGTTAGGGCTAGGGTTAGGGTTAGGGTTAAGATTAGGGTTAGGGTTAGGGCTAGGGTTAGGGTTATAGGTAGTTTTAGGGTTAGTGTTGTGTCTAGCTTTGGTTTTGGTTTTGTGTGAAGTTTTAGGCTAAGGTGGATGCTTAGGTTTTGGTCTTTTTCTTAAGGTTTGGACTAAAGTAGTATATAGGTATACAATTCTAGTTAGAGTTAGGATTTTAACTTGAGGGGGGGGGGAATTCCCCCAGGGGGGTAATTGACAAGGGGTAATTGACAGGGGGGTAATTGCTCCGGGGGGTAAATACGGGGGGGAAATGTCCGGGGGGGAAATATCCAGGGGGGTAATGTCCTGTAGCCCGACTAGACAAAGAACAGAAGACGAAATCAGACTAGTAGTAACGGCTATTTATAGATCAACTGCATGAGAAATAAGGAATAAAGTCAACCCTTGCTAACTAATTTTTCAATGACTATTTAAACATAACTTTTTTAAAAAATGCATAGTAAGGGGGCGTCGTGGCACACAAAGGGCGCGCGGAACAACTGCTCCCTACTCCCCCACCCCCACCCCCAGCGGCTCCTCTTACTCTAGCTGGCGGACCCATATTTTACTATATATCATTGTCCCCGCCTCCGCCTTGCGACTCAAAAGGGATCTGATATAGGCCTACTACTCTCAGAGTTTTAAACATACATATGCAATTTTACATATATACTGATTCAGAAATAGATACTTAAATCTATAAATACCATAACAGTGGTATTATGACAGTAAAAAAAAATGTACAGGGGGTCCATGGGGGGGATTGTAACCCCCTTACCCCCCCCCCTTGCCTACGCCACTGGGCCTTTGGTTAGTTTTCATCAATGAGCGCCCGGACTTTTATTTTTAGTCTTACCAGCATATAGGCCTAGTTTTAGTAAGGTTACACAAAACTAGATTTACTTGTTGTTTTTTCTTTTCTCTAGAAATGTGCAATTTGTTTTTATTAAACTTACCGACATAAAGTTGCCTGTGTCGAGACTGGATCATCTATAAAAATGGAGTAGTTACTAAAGTAGCTTAGGTTAGTCCAGGCCTGGTTCCAGCAATAATTAGCATTTTCACTGAATAGGCACACGTCTTCGGCTGCGGATATCGGGGTGGGGTGCAGATTAAATTAGCGTTCATCATATATCGAAGCCAGCTTAAATTATAGTGGTGTGAGTTAAGATTGGTAAAATTTATATTTATATTTTTTAATTAGTAGTTACAATTGATGGAGTGGAGTCATTTAAAAAATGTTAGAGTATTTACAGTAAAGGTATATTTTGTACATTACGTTATAATTTTAGCTATTACAGTAAGTTGTTGTGGTCGTTGCAGTAGCTTTTGTGATAACTTCAGTATAAATTAGCTATGTTAAGTTGAAGTATAGCTGCTGTATTCGTAACGGTATAGGGCTGGTAAGTAGGTCACCAACCAGTTCTACGGCTCAATAAAACGTGCATGAGCCATAGAACTGGTTGGTAACCTACTTACCAGCCCTATAGTTATTGTAGTAATCAGAGGCTTTTTTCTGTGTGCGCTTTTTTCTGTTTGCGCTTTTTTCCGTTTGCGCTTTTTTCTGTTTGCGCTTTTTTCCGTTTGCGCTTTTTTCCGTTTGCGCTTTTTTCCGTGTGCGCTTTTTTCTGTTTGCGCTTTTTTCCGTTTGCGCTTTTTTCTCTTTGCGCTTTTTTCCGTTTGCGCTTTTTTCTGTTTGCGCTTTTTTCTGTGTGCGCTTTTTTCTCTTTGCGCTTTTTTCTGTTTGCGCTTTTTTCTCTTTGCGCTTTTTTCCGTGTGCGCTTTTTTCTCTTTGCGCTTTTTTCCGTTTGCGCTTTTTTCCGTTTGCGCTTTTTTCTGTGTGCGCTTTTTTCTCTTTGCGCTTTTTTCCGTTTGCGCTTTTTTCTCTTTGCGCTTTTTTCTGTGTGCGCTTTTTTCTCTTTGCGCTTTTTTCCGTGTGCGCTTATTTCCGTTGCGCTTTTTGATTTGCGCTTTTTTCCGTTGCCCTTTTTTCCGTTGCGGTTCTTTCCGGCCACCGTTTCTTGTAGACGCCTAAGTTTTCTCTTGCCCTGTGGTTTCAATCTGAGAGCAGTCCTAGCAAATGATTTTCCTCGAAATTTTAGCATCTCCATATTCTGTGTCTGCTAACTACTGTTGATAGTTGAATGAGTGTTCTTGTAACTCCTCGTTTGACATGGTGTTTAGCCAGAAGCTTATTAATAGTTGTCTTTATCCTTTTGTTCCGAAAGGCTTCTAGCTTTAACTTCAATCACATTATGGTTTCTCATTATTCATTATGACAGTATAGACTAATATATTTTAGTTTTAGTAGCCATTGCTGTAGTCTTTGTAATTACTTCAGCATAGACTAGTTTATGTACACGATAAAGTATAAATGTTGTAGCCATTACGGTATGGTTATTGAAGTAATACGGCATGAGCTAATTGTAGTCTTAGCAAGTTAGCTCTGGTCTTTACAGTAGATTTTCTATCATCCTATATGATAATTTGCTTATTTCGCCCTCCACATCCTTAACTCAAATATATTTAAAACAGCTTTTTATTTAGAACTTTATAGCTTCCATGATTCAAATATGTCATAAAAAATATTAGGTTGTAAATTCTATCTTAGCTTTTTTTTACATTTTGAGAAATAAATAGATTGTTTTATAATGAATTAGTCTTTTTAAAATGCTTTATTTATAGCAAATATGCTGATACATAATACATAAAAAATTAAATTAAACATGTATATTTATTTTCTTAAGATAGTTTAAGGATAAATCAAAGGATGTGTAATGGTAAAATTGAATCAATGATACTCAATTTGAATAAAATATTTACTTATGTTTTCATTCCATGTTGTTTCCATGGAACTTTTTCCTTAGGCACTGGCCTAGATAACTAGGAATCTTTAAAAAAAACATCAATTTAAAAACTAGACGCTAAAATAAAAAGAAAACCACTCACGTGACTCTGTGGTCGGGGCTATGGTGGCAGTCTTTACTGTGGAAGATAATTTTTATCAAAACATTATGGGATTAAGACTAATTTAAGAGCCTTGCACCTTTTAAAAACAATAAGGGCTGACTAACAACCTAATCACGCCACTGTATGGTGACAAAAAACACTGCTTTTCCTTTGTTCTCATTTTATTTTCACAAAACTATGCTTTCTAAAACATTTGGTAACATTATTTTAAACTCTGTTTAGGCCTAAATATGTAGTTACTTCCAGTTACGATGTAACCATCGATTTTCTCTCAAATGAAGTTGTTCCTAAAATATTTTTTTAAACCGGCATTTTATTTTAGGCTATCAAAGTGTATTGTAACTGGTAAGGTGGGTGTTTCCTATATATGCTATGTAAGCTGTGTTATATATATATTAAGTAGAATTACCACCCTCATCAACATTGTTTAATAAAATAACGCGTCGGAAATCTCCACCTATGGTCCACGCCAATTCAAAAACTAAAATGTAAATTTCTAGTTATTAAAATGCACTGGCTAAATTGGCAGGAAATAAAATCAAAGTTAGAAAATTTAACACAATTTTTATCAGATTTTTACATTGGTTGATAACGCTTACTTTAAAACTCAAAAAGATATAAAAGTATATCCGTCAATTTTATTCTCCCCAACCCTCTCTTTCCACCTCCATGTCAAAAAATTAAGTACCTTAAAATACAATAAAATAAAGTATCTGCTCCCAATTATTAAATTCTTTATTTTTTAAATTCTTATACTAAAAACACTAACTTGTGTACAATTTAACTCATCAGTTATAATAAATTACCTTAAAATATAATAAAATAAAGTATCAGCTCCCAATTATTAAATTCTTTTTAAATCTTTTTATATACTAAAAACATTAACTTGTATATAATTTAACTAACGAATTATAATAAAGTACTTTAAAATACAATAAAATAAAGTATCAGCTCCCAATCATTAAATTCTTTTTAAATCTTTTCATATACTAAAATCTTGTAAATGATTTAACTCACCAGTTATAAAGAACTGGACAAAAAATAAAACATTTAGAACCTTCATCTTCAAAAACTGATCAACTAAAAACAAAATGCCTCCGCTTATTAATTATGTTTTCCTTTTCAATTAATCCGTGACAAACTAAGTAAAAATATAACTGCCGAAAAAGAAATTCTGCTTTTATATGACTATAATGACGTCAGTCGGTGTAGCTGTTTTAGCAGTTATTTAAAACGTTTTTTTCTGGTAGGTTCTTTTCAAATCCGGTTCCATATTTCAAGATGATAGGCGGTATATTTCTAGCTGTGTTGTATTCGGGACAAGTGTACCTACAGACTGTCGTTCAAGCGATACATTCACAACTGAAATTGGGGTGGGGTGGGTTTTGAAATTAAAGCCTTTTTAAGTTCACATAATTTCTATCAACTTGAAATGTGAAAAGCCAGACAAATTTACAGATTTGTTTTTATCCTTTATCACACGCGTTTAAAAATCACATTTTTTTATCTGAATGTTAGCTTATATCAATGGTTATTATAAGGATTTGGGTTGGGACTAGAATTTTAATTTGGTTAATTTTGCGTGGTGGTATGAAGCTTAGGTTAAATAATAGATACCGTCTAAATAAAACAACGAGCTTTTGTAAACCCTCTAGAGAACAAAACTAGTTGCTTAAAAACATGTTTTTTCTAATTGAATCAATTTCAATAAAGGTGGAGGAGGGTAGAAAACTGCGAAAATGAATGAAGACAAATTTTAATTGATGAAACGTGTTGACAAATGGCCACCCTAAATTCTCAAGTTCGATTCCTGTGTCAAAAACTAGCGAACACATTTTTTTAATGTGTTGGCTCGTCTGAATCCACCCATCTCTCTCTCTCTCTCTCTCTCTGTTAACTGTCAAGAATCCACCCATTTCTGTTAACTGTCACGAATCCACCCATCTTTGTTTACTTTCATGAATCCACCAACCTCTGTTAAGTTTCATGAATCCATCCATCTTTGTTGACTTTCATGAATCCACCCATCTGTGTTGACTTTCATGAATCCACCCATCTCAAAGAAACTCGGGTTATTGCTACCTGAAGCGTTGCAATAACCCAAGCCCTAGTTTATTCTGACCTTGTATTATTTCTAGGCTTAATAAACAACCTTTGAATGGAAGACGCCATTTTATCTAGAAATCATTCCAAAATAAATTTTCTTCTGTGTGGGCGAACCAAAGAAGTTTTGGTGTGGTTAAACGCAGAGGCGTATTGAAGGGCGGTGGGGGATGGGGCGGCCGTCCTGGGCGCGACCAAAAAGGGGAGGGGGGCAAACAGAGTAGAAAAGAATAAAAAGTTCATTCTGCACAATCAAAAGTCTGCTACTTGGCTTTACAGACTGATTTCCTGAATTAGTGTGTATATGTGTGTGGAGGGGGGGGGGGGGGTGTTTTTGCCATCCCGAATAACAGAATAACATAGTTTGATATCGTTGATAGTTTTCCCCGGGCGCCGAAATGGGTCGGCACACCTCTGGTTAAACGTGGTCTACATTGAAGACTGAGTCTTTGAGTAGTGTGGGGGAGGGGGGGTCCCTCAGAAATCGGTACACTTGTACGACGGTCTCTTTACGGTCCAATATGTTCTTTTTTTCGTTTTGATTTGAACGAATTTATAATATTAGTATCGAAATTCCCAATGAGATGAAGTGTTAGATGTAGTCTGTGTATGAGTGTGTGTGATTGTTTGTGAGTGAGAGTGTTTGTGTATTGTATGTGTGTAGCATGTGTGTAGTGTATGTGCGTGTGCGTACATGTGCAAGCATATTGAAATTTGAATAAAAGTACCCTTTCAAACCTGACGGTCCATTTGTAAGTGAAATAGAGTTGACCTTGGCATATGAAGGGATAATATGGACAGTATTGTGCCCAACTGCCTTTACTTTCCTTAACGTGTGTCACCTATCTTTCAAAGTTCGTTAGACAGAGACGTTCTACTAACACGACCCCGGGTTAGAAGCAGAGGCGTCGCGAGATGGGGGTGCGGACCGCACTGGGTAACACCATTTAGGGGAGTTACACCATGGCAAAAGATAGCAAAATATATACAGAAAAGTGATAATGTATCTTAATTAAATGATTAATTAGAGTAAATTAAATATTCTTTTAATAGCAAGATGGACAAATCCCGACACGGGTGGAGGGGGAGGGGTTGACATCATGACTTAAACCTGCTAATGATAGAGAAAACATGCAACATCCAGCTGCATTTATAACTGAATATAGATACAATTCGTTAGTATTATCTGAGCACAGTTTAAAGCAATCACTGTGGGGGTGACGGGGGGGGGGGGGAAGTAACATCAACTCAACGCTGCAATATATGTGCCTGAGGAAAACGATTAGGTTGAGAATCTTAATAACCTATATGTTAATCTATGTATGGGATGGGAGGGGGGGGGGGGCGGAATTAAATACATCAAAAAAAAAATATTTGAATTCGTATACACATGCGTATACACATACTTACAAGTGTGTATGATATATATATATATATATATATATATATATATATATATATATATATATATATATATATATATATATATATATATATATATATATATATATTCATGAGGGTGCCGCACCGGGTAACACCCGACCTCGCTAAGCCACTAGTTAGAAGTCGTATGCTCTACCATCCGACGACGCAGTCCCCAGGATGTTTCACCACCTACGTAAATCAGCAGTGCGTAACGCAACTTCACGTTTTTCTGCTGGTTCTAGTTTTCGAGCCCGGCGTCAGAACTCTCAAGGTGAAACAGGTTTTGCGGGTGACCTGTTTCATGTGACGTGACGACACAATCTATTGAAGTTCTTATGAAAACGCTGCCAAAGCGGATCATTGATTTTAAATGCAGGTATCGGTGTTAGAGTTAGAGCAAGGACTTTGGTTTACGGGGGTTAGGACCAAGGCTAGGATCACTAAAATCAGAGAGATTGCCAGTGTTGCTTTACGGTATCGTTCTCGAATACAAAAAGCATCGAATATAACCGGTCGATGTATTAATAAAGTTTCAAGACAATCTTATTGTGAAGATAATAATTTGAAAGAAAATTGAAATTCAGAGTAAGTACATTGTTTAAATAATAAAGTATTCCATGAATACACTTTGTTACAGACGTACACTGATTTAAATATGCAGTTTTAACGGAGTTTTGCTAATGGTAAGGAAAAGATTTCAAGGGAAACGATCGAAAAAAATCTTTCACTAGGGAAGTTACCGCCCGTTTAATCATTTAAGTGGCAATAATCTACACACAAAAAATTTGAAAAAGCAAATAATTTAAAAGTAAATGAATTAGTAAACTAAATATTTTTATAAATAAATCAAAATTTTTTAAAATCTTTTACTAAAAAATATTTAAAAAATAGAAAAAGTGATAATTTAGCAGAAACTGAACTAGAAAAATAAAATATTTACGAGATAAACTAGAAAAAATTATTTTAAATTTAAATGAAATAAAATGAAAAGAAATAATAATTTAAAGATAAATAGTATTCTTTAAAGTTATAAACTACAAAAAGAAAAAAATTAAACGTAAAAATAAGTCAAAACATCATGTCATGTTTGCCTGTCGTCCCTACTGGGACATAGGCCGCTGACAAGAGCTTTCCAGACGTCTCTGTCCAGGGCTAGTCTCTCCAACTGTCCCCAGGTGTATCCAATCTTCTTGGTGTCTTCTTCCAGGTCACGTCTCCAGGTCTTTCTTGGTCTGCCTCTCTTCCTCCTGCCTTGTGGATTCCAGGTCAAAACATACCAGATCAATAACTATTTATAATCAATTTTATGAAGTTGTTATTTGTTTAATTGCATCAATTTATTTATTTTTAATTTGGGTTCGAATTTTTAACATAACAAAGACATGAAACTAATTCATTCAATCATATATAACATGAAAGTTGCTCCAAAGGATGATACAACAGTTAAATAAATTTTAATTTCACTTTAGGAAATACTAAAAAGAATGACGTGGAGCAAATTATATAAGGGATAATTACACAACACACAACCTACCGCACTCCACCCCACCACCACCACCACACTTGGCCACAAATTAATATGTAGTGAAATCTATATATATAATTCTCTTCTGGGAGACGTTAGAAAACAAGCTGCAAGCGCGCCTTGCAGTCCCCTCTCTTCCTCTCTATCACTACCACCCCCACCCCCCACATGGTCTGGTGAGCGATGGTTCACTCTAAATGTTTACATTCGTGGAGCCGGGTTTAGTGACGGCCATTAGGGGCAGATAATTTAGTTTGAAACGATTTTAAACTTAGAGGAGTTAACTAAGAGGAGGCTGCCTTCACGGGGGGAAGGGTATAGGGTAGGGGTTTGGGGAAAGGAGGGGGGGTAGTGTTTTAATGCAAATATTTTCAGTGGCAGCATTGGTACTGTCGAATTCACAAATTATGAATTACTGAAAAGTAGAAAATAAAACAACTAAATAGCGACGTATGATACGCCACGGGTCGGCTTGTATAGTATAAAGTAGTTGAATAAACAAATGTAGTAGAATAGTGTATTATGGTGTAAACTGTAGTAGAATAGATGAATGCTATAGAATTGAGTACAGTAATGTAAAATGTAGTAGGGTAGAGTATAATATACAGCTAAGCACATCTTTAAGTAACAAGAGCAAGACGTTATGGTGCTAAAATTTTAAAAGTAGTTGGTTAGGAAATAGAACAAACCTTCTTTCGGACATACACTTTTGGAGTACAATTTATGTTTTATAACATGGTTTGTTTTTTAAAACAAATTTTGTTACTTTTATTATTTGTTCGGGTAATAAGCATTCTCCTTGTGGGTTAAAAACAATGTGGGTGTTTGTTTGTTTTTAAATTAACATAAGCATTGTTTTTACAGGCTTTATTTCAAACAAATAACTGAAAATCAAATGTTAACAAAATTATGAGCAGCCTTTTGAAATTTACACTTTCAACACAAACTATTTAACCACTTTGACAAACTCCACACGACTGATGTGCAATACAACACATACATACACACATACAGACAAAATTGCAAAAACTAGGTTTTTCCGACTCAGATACGAGAAAGTATCCAAAAATATGCTATCTAAGCATTATTTTTTTAACGTGCGTCGCTTAGGGTTACAATAGATTAAATATCTATAATTTAACGTATAAACCATATTAAATTTTTAAAAGGCTCAATTTTTAAAAAGCTAATATTTTTAATTACTATTTCATTTATTACAAAACAAATAAAAAAAAACCTTTTATAGCAACAAGCTCTTAAATGCACTAAAAATAAGAAAATAAAACTAATCTGCTTTCTCACATCAAATTTTTGTCGCTAAAATATGTAAAAGATGTAAAATGCCCGATCTTCCTGATTTCGAACATCGGCCAGACAGTTCTCAGATTTCATAAGGCGACTGACCAAAGTCGGTACAGTAAGGTCGTTAGCAACTGTATGTTGAAGTATGTTATTTGACCATAGTTATGAGGATACATCTGACAGGCAAGTTCCTTCTATCTCAAAATATATACTGTGGTCTGGGAAAAAAAAAACGAGACATTAAATTGTGTGGTACTTATAGTTTAGACATCGTATGTATTCAATTTATTTTGTGCAACAGCTGAACACGTAAGAACGACCTACAGAGAACCAGTCATGCAATAGTCTAAGCTTGACTGCGTTTTGACAAGAAACGTCATAATCGTCGCTCCGTTTAGCTTAGCCCACTAGATCATTATCATTGTTTAACTACGCTTGTAAACCTTCGGGTATGATAGAAAGATATAATTGACACTAGAACGTTACAGAGCGCTACCTGCCTGTGTATCAATAATAGCTCTCTTGAGTGGAGTTAGTAAGTTCTTTTACTATACATTGCTATGTTGAGAAACGTGCAAGCGCCATTTTTGTTTGCTCTCTACTGCGCACCTGCAAAGCCGTTGGAATGTTTCTGGTCTAGTTCATTTAATAACAACACGATTATATCATTCTCACTAATATTTATTTCGTCCTCGCTCTCAATTGTAGTGCAATTGAGCTTTAGAGATGCGTGTTTCAATGTCAGCAATGCAATTTTCTACATAGCTGACGTTTCCTAAATATGAGAAATCTTTTACTTCTTCTGAGTCTTGTGTGTTGTTTATTTTAGTTAGCCCTTTTTCTAGGTTCGTGTGTTTTTTAAATGTTAACAGCTATTATTGCGGTACGAAATTAGACTTTATATCAAATCGACATCTATGTTTTTGACCCGTTAAATGTTTTTTTTAAAAGCTGCGGTTTTTTTTTTAATTTATTTTTAATAACATGATCTGTTTTTAACACAGGGAAATGACTTTAAATTTGTTTGCATCTATTCTTTTTTTTCTCTATTACACGACACACAAAAACGATGTTCCAGAGCTCAGGTCCCAAACTTTTCAATTATGTCTCAATTGTGTATTGATAATATTTATTGATAATCTGTATTGGATTCGATCCTAGTCTGAATAACATTTGACCATAACGTGTGTCCTTGCTCACTCGCAAAAACAGACACAATTTTGTTTTTAAAGATGTATGAAGTTCTTTATTCTACTAGAGTTATGCAAACAATTTTTTTATAAAAAGGAAAAATGCAAGACTTTCAGAAAAACAAGGTGCCTCTAGGAACTTGGAGTGGATGTGTTACTATGTACATGAGTATGTGTGTAGCGTGCGTGTGCATGCGTGTACCATGCGTGCGGCGTCGTGTTATTATGTGTGTGCGTGTGTGCATGCGTGCGTGTGTGCGACACGTATGTATGTGCTTGTGTTTGTGTTGTTACAGACTTTATACTGTGTGAAAAATGTTTGTATTTTAACTTTTTGTAAATCCCAACTGTGTTTATGATTAACAAGATCATCGTTCAACTACTAAGTACTACGATCTCTTATACCACATTGATTCAATATTTGTTTTTACAGAACTGAGGTTCAAAAGCTGGACCGGCCTGAAAATAGAATTTTAAAAAATTGTCTTGAAGTCCGACGTTTCCTCAATTACGTCTGCTCCTCATCTTGGCCTGCTCCTGCACCATGTTTCTGGTGTTACAGCGGTCACCAGTACAAAAGCACGTGACTTCCTTCTTGTGAGTCAGACAGCCATTGGCTGGGATATGCAGACCTGGGAACTTGCCGTCTGAACATCCACGGACAACTAGTAAAAGAAGAGAAAACTACAGTCAGGCCCCATCAATTCCAAACTATATCAGCAGAATTGTATTGCTCTAAAGTCAGACTGAGGAGTGTAGTACGTACTCCACAAGTATGTGAGCACTAAGTATGACATTCTATAAATAGCTTTGCAAAACCATTGCTAGAAATGTACAAAAAACTATTAAAGCATGAATCTTATTTTTATATATTACTAACCGTCCCGGTCAGGCCCTGCTCTGGCTTCAGTGAAAAACCTTTCTGTTAAAGACCATTACCTGTGTGTTTAGTAATCATCATAAACCCGGCATTGCCCACCCAAACCACAACCAACTAAAACAACAAAACGCAAACATAACGCTAACACAATTACAAATACAAACGAAAACAAAAACCTAACAACAAACCCAACCACAACCACAAACACCAATACGAACACAAAAAAAAACGAAAAAGCAAACGAAAACAAACCAAATCCAAACGCAAAACCAAACACAAACACAAACCCAAAGAAAAAAACACAAACAAAAAAGCAAACGAAAACAAAAACCTAACAACAAACCCAACCACAAACACCAATACGAACACAAAGAAAAAAAAACGAAAAGGCAAACGAAAACAAACCAAAACCAACCACAAACACAAATACAAACACAAACCCAAAGAAAAAAACACAAACGAAAACGAAAAAAGAAAGAACAAAAACGAACCAAATCAAAACGCAACCACTAACGCAAACCCAACCTAAACACAAAGAAAACACTAACGCGAACATAAACGCAAAGTGCTCTCAGTCTAGCCCGGGGCAGAATCGCCTGTTTCAGCTTAATAATCGACTACAGTGCCCCAACTTATTCATAGTCTTTTGCACTCACTTAAACGAACGTAGGTGCCAAACCAAACCAAATGAACAATTATAATACTCCAAGCTTATTCGTAAAATACCTACAACATTTGCACTTGATCAATCCCCGCTAATTATGTAATTATTTTTTTCCCAACACCAAAACAAAGTAATAAAAAGTAAATTCTTTTCCACTAATGCAATGTTTTATAAAGGGAAGTAATTGTGTTTTCCTAATTTAACAAAGGAAAGTAAGTGCTAAAGGACTAAATATAAATAATTTTCAGACATAATTAGAATTTTTGTTCTTTTTTTTTTAAATTATGTTTAATGAACATGCCTACAACTATTACTATCAATTTGAAAACTGAAAATTATTTCCCAACACTTTCAATAGTAATTTTTTAACTCATAAATTTAGACTATGAGTACGATAATAGTCTAACACTTAAATCCATGGAAGTACGTCAACGACAAACAAACAAACTTATTTTTACATACAGAATTGAGCTTTATATATTAGATATAAACAAGTCTTAAGCAAAATCCAAAACACCATAGCACTTTATAAATTTAGCTCAACAACAATTTTTGCTAGGTCATCTATAATTAATAGGTATGTCATCCCAAAAATTACCTATATAGCCACGGCTAAAAATATCCCAAAGCCAACAATTAAACATCTGAATAAAATCATTAGAGAGTACATATTTCAGACCACAATTTCAAACATTAGCCACAACACTTTAGTACAAAACAAACTTCATGGAGGAATAAACCTGCACGATATACAGACCAAAATCAATACATTCAGACTAACACACATTAGCAGAATAATTAGCCAACCAAACTTTCACCCTCTAGCTCACTACTATATAGGCATTCAGCTAAACAAACTTACAAAAATCAATAATACAACTCCACATTACATAGGAGGAAAACACAGTCCCTTTTACACAGAATGTTTACAAATATTAAAAAACAACGAAAAACTTGTTCACAAAAAGTCACAAAACATTTACAAAAATTTAGTGCAAAAGCTCTCAACTCCACTATACAACAGAATTCAATGGTGTAGGAAATACGCTCTAACAGACACAATGGACACCTTCAGAAACCTACACCTCAAAACCATCACACCCAAAGCCAGGGAAATAACTTACAGACTCATCTACAATTCAACACCCCTAGCAAAACAACAGAAACCATTTTGCCCACTATGTAGACAAAACACACCCGAAACCGAAACGCACATCTATTTAGAATGCCCCACCATACAAAACATGAAAAAGACGCTAGAAAACAAAATAATAAAAAACGAGACCTACAATATCGATATAGTCATAACTCTAAACAAAATCCCAATACAAAGAGATAGGACGGACCTAGAGCAAAAAGCAAGGACGGTAGCTATATATAGACAGACTATTTGGAACAGCAGAATAAAAGCAAAACACGACAAGGTACAGTTCACGGGACACGTACTAGACTTGATTTATCGTAGACGACTCGACAATGACAGCACTCAAACACATATACCATAATTAACAACACCAAAACGTAAAGAACATATTACACTGCTTTTGCCACCTGGAACGCCTAATCGAACTGACACATCCCCCTTTCATCACACCCTCTCCGCCCCCCGCCCCTAAACCTCATGATCCCAATATCAAATTTCCCCTCAAAACTGCATCCCCTCGTCCCCATCACCACCACCCCTGTGATGAAGTACTATGTTAAACAGTGACAATGATGTATTATCCAAATACATTTCTAACAACATCAATGTAACTCCCACCCCTCAACCCCCATGTCCCCACTTTGTGTCGCATCATTTATCATTTGGCATTTCATTTTCCTATTGTTGCTTTTTGTGTATTGTTTAATTTATAAAGCTTACAAACATTGTAAAGCTATCATTTGTTACTATATTACTATTATCATATATGTAAGGTACTTTGGTCCGCAACGTACAAATGACCCCAATGACCCGTACTCCTTTTGTATTCATTGTTTTATCACCAAATTAACACTTACAGTTGTTTCGTTAACTTTACTAACTCTTTTATGTGAACACCAATTTTTTTGATCTATAAAACTCCACTGTATCCCTACACGTGATAGCTACACGCCTACCCACCCCTAACCTGTCGGTACTAAACATTCATCTAAACATAAACACCGACTTGAACATACCAACCTTTCACCCTCCCACTAATTCGCTCATACAGCAATCTGTTCGTCAAACCCTCCCCCCCCCCCCACCCACACACACTACAAATGGTAACACCTCAGCAGTCAGATAACACAGCACAAAATGTGACGCTTGGCTTGCCTTAAAACACGCAGTCACCCTCTCCACGCCTCGTCGGACACATCTACCCACTCCCCCCTCTCCCCCTCTATCCACTTACCCTCAGACATGAAAACACCACTTTCCCTTTAACTGTTCCAACGATCCCACCACCCACCCCAACATCAATTTCGAATATCTATTCATTTACTTTTTAAAATTCTAAATCTTGTTTCTTTCCCCTCATTTTTTACACAGCAACCTTTTGAAAAATCAATGCGACCAGTACATAAATAAACACTCTTTTAACTAGTCAACTTAATGTGTTTCCCTACATTGAAAATGCTCCACTGGCCCTTTGTCATTCTCGGAAAAATATCCTTTCCAGTCCCCACCCAGACTTCTGACACGTTTATTTGACCTTCACCCCTTTTACTGCCATCTTTTGTAATTTTTGTTATAATCATATACATGACATCATGTAAATATTCATTATGTACATGTTCAAAACCTTTCGTTTTCATTTGAAACTATGTAAAAAATGTGATGTTGATGTACTTGTTTTAATTGCAAATAAAAGTATTTAAAAAAAAAAGATATAAGTTACCGATTATATATCATATCAAAGTTTACTTTTTTTTAAAAAATCAAATATATAATTGGTTTTGATAATGTTTTATAAACAACGCATTTATTTAATTATTCACTTATTTCGATTTTTTTTTCTTGCTAAACGTTATAGAATTTTTATGATTGTTTTTAATGTCTTTATTCACAAAAAGTCTTGCTTTAAATATTACGGAATGGCAATCAAGAAATATGTAGCAATATGGTATACATCCTAACAGTTTTCGCACGTAAAAAGATATACCTTGTCTCCTTTCTACTAGAAGGTTGGCTCATGGTTATCTTATTTTGAACCTCAGATCAAGGTTGACATACGAGGTACCTTACACTTGACTCACCTGTCCTTGAACATTGAATCAAGATTGCTAGTAAGTAAGTACTTTTTCAAACTTGACGCTCCTATGGGTTGGTCAACTAGAACTCATCTGGTTCGGTGACCTCTGCATATTACCGTGGTCAGCACTTTGCCCAGCCGCCTTTAATTTACCCAACACGTCAGGTACTCATGTGAGCTGGGTAAACTCTAGACGTCCTGTAGACCACACTATCCTATGGGTTAGCCGTCGGGGGTTCTACCATTCGACCACACCGTCCCGTATGAGATATTTTACACCTGACTCACCTGCATTTGAACCTCGGGTTACGGTAGACATACACGGTCCACTACACTTGACGTAATGAAACTTTGACCACGCCCAGATGTTTCCATTGGCTGGACACATATCGTTCTCGCACTCGTCGTCCCGCCCACTGCTGCACCTGTAGCAGGTGTTGTAGTCCCTGGGTGGGGCTGGGCTCAAGGCTGTGGTCGTCTCAACTGGCGAGGGGCTGAGGGTCGTGTCCGTCGGTGGGTCTGAACTCATGGGTGTTGTCGTTGTTTCAAGTGGTAAAGGACCCAGGGTCGTCTCCTCAGGGGTGTTTGATTGACATTTATTTGCAGTGGCTGGCTTGAAGATTTTGTCCAGGGCGTCGCTGAGTTTCTGGACATTGCTGCCTGGGCACAGCCGAGTGGCCAACTCGATGCTGCAGTTCTTCTGTGTCGATGCAAACCTGTAGACGATACCAGACAGGTCACAGACAACAGAAAAGGTTGTTTTTTTACTTTCTCGTATATACGAAGTAGCCTATAGAGAAAGTCTTGTAATCGTGCAAAAAAAATCGAGATTTTTACAAATCTCGACGTTTTACATCTCACTGATACGGAAAAACATAATTTTGCAATCTTGTCCGTATGTCTGTGTGTCTATCTGTGTGTCTCTGTGTGTGTGTAAACACGATAACTTGAGTACCGTTACAGCTAGGTTGATGAAATTTCATATATAAGTATTTTATCAAAATCGTAGATCCGTATCAACTTTTGAGCGATTTCCGATAACCGGAAGTGGTACTTTTTCTACTTTGAATTTTCCAAAAGCCTCTAACTTGAGTACTATTTCAGGTAGATAAATGAAATTTCACATGTAAGTAAAAGATCTAATTCTCTACCTTCTGTCAAATTTTGAGTAATTTTCGTTGACCGGTAGTACTAATTTACGCTATTTCCGATTTCTCAAAAAACGCATGTAAATTTATAAAGTAGCCTACTAATAATATTGCGCACTATTATGCACTTTTTTTATTTTACGTTCACTTGGTGTGCAATTCTTTTGTCTACGAGATTTTATTCTATTTTTAAAACTTTAAGTATTTAAAATGGATTAAAAATCATGTCTATAGCCCGAGTTCCCATCCCCTGTTGTTTTATATAAGAATATTCGAGAAAGTTTAGGGGAGATCACTCCCGGTTTATTTTATTCTGGTATCAGCAATATGATGTGTAGTTGAATAAGTCTGACCAAATTGGCCCGGTGATCTCTGGACTCTAGACAACACTGAATTGGTCCATCTATAGACCTCATTGAAGTGGGCCATCTTTAAACTATTCTAAAACTATTGTTTACTATAATAAATGCACTATGCACCTTTTCCTGATCGTTTAAAAGATAATAACTGTGTTGACAAAAATATTGTTTAGTAATAAACAAGTCGCTTTCGCTTTATAGTTCACTTATTGATGTGATTCCTCAAAGATAAAAATAAATGCATGCATACTTACAAGCAAACGTCGGAATTAAAGCCACAGGTGTAGAAGGTATCAATGAATTCCTTGTTTTGAAAACATGGATTAAAATCAAGAAAATCTACAGGGAAAAAAAATTATACAACTTTCTTCAGATTTTTTCAACTCTGATATCTGATTAATTAAAATAATGTTTACATTAGTAACGCATTCTAACAAAAACAAATCCTTAAATAATAATAATTTGATGGGACGACGTGGTTGAGTAGTAAAGCGCTCTACTGCTAACCCGAAGTTCTCGAGTTCGGATCACCAAGTTCACCAAGATCTGATAGGTAGCCTACCTGACGCGAGTTAGGGAAGGTAAAGGCGGCTGGTCATGGTGCTGACCACATCTTCATTTCTTTTGACGTATACAAGAAACAGATTAACTCTATCTGTACAATTGATCGTAAATGTCCGAAACGGGAACTTTAATTTTTTTTTTAAATAAACATTTGTTTTAAAATACTTAACACTTTTTGTTTCGTTAGAGAATTACAAACACATATTGCCATTCCATTTATCTTTTTAATAAACAATACAGTCTGTATTTGGGTCACCATTAGCTTTCACCTCCACCTCATCCTTCCTTTCACATCCCAACACTCACACACCAATCTTCACCACCCTCTAGAACTATCAGCACTAATTCTCACCTTTGTATCCTGTAGTCGAACATAGATAGTCAAGCAGCCCCTTGAACAAAAGGAAATCCTCTTGCGCCTTCTCCGAACAGTTCGTGAAAAGAGGCTCAAGGCACGCTGTCTTGGCGCTGTAGAACAAAATAAAATTATGTGTTAGGTACTATACAATGTTCATATATAGTGAGTACTTTCAGTCTCTATCAGAATATGCTGTCACTTTTATTTTACCTTGACAACATTTACAATGCATCTACTGGTACTTTCCAGTTTATGTTTAAGTGGAACAATCATGAACAATATTTTTAGTATAGACACTTTGTCTTCGTTTTTTTTTTAATATGGAGAATGTGATCATCCATGTGGACGTCTCTCCGTGTGCGGACGCCCAGGTAAACATGTTGTTTGGCGGCGGTTTAAATAACGCCGCGGGTCGGGTGGAGAAGGGAAATCTGGGGCGGACATTCGTTAGAGCGTTGCGCCATTTTTTTTCCGTAGTTAAATTTTCGTGAATATCCATATTCACGTCAAAGGTATTACCGCTGAAGGAATAACCGTTAGAATTGCGGGGATCCCCACCCGCGCGCATCGCGGTGCTCTGAGGTAATATCCATATCCACACCGTAGCGAAGCACGGGTATAAACTAGCATATATATATATGTGTGTATATATATATATATATATATATATATATATATATATATATATATATATATATATATATATATATAACTAAGAACTGCTGTTAACCTGTTTCAGGATTAATAACTACTAATTAAGATGTCTTATTATCAATTTATTCAGTTAAAAATTATTTAGATTGTATGGTTTTCGTTTTTCTTACTAGAAATTTGGAAAAAAAAATTTTAAGAGGAAACGTACTTGCACAATGTAGCCTGTGTGGAGACTGGGTCCTCGACAAAGATGGTGTAGTTGCTAAAGTAGTTCAGGTCGCCAAAGGTTTGCCCTAGACATTGGTGGGCATCATCAGTGTAGGGACACACGTCTACAGCTACAACCGACAGGAAAGATTAATATATCATGGGAGACTAGCGCTCATACCATATTTTTTCGAAGTTACAAATACTTTTGTTGATAAGACTCATTCAGTTTGTTAAAACTACATCTACGATACAGTCATTTTAACATTGTTAGTAGTCAAAGTTAGTGTTTTTAATTAAAGTTAAGTAGTGATTGTTATATAGCTTATAAGGTTATTGTGTAATAAGTCATTATAGTTGGGTGATTGTAGTTATTTATATAATGATTGTACAGTAAAGTACAGCAAAGTAGCTATAATATGCTGAGTCAGCGCGTTATAGTTTTTGTATTCATTCATTTAAGTCATAATGTGATTGTATAATTAATGCAACATTTGCAGCATTTTGATGTAACCATTGTGGTGTAACTAATGTAGCCATTACGGTGCAATTTTTGCCGCCATTACAGTATAATTGATGGAGCGATTAAAGTTTTAGTTGCAACCATTAAAGTATAATTGATGGAGCCATTAAAGTTTTAGTTGCAACCATTAAAGTATAATAGATACAACCATTACAGTATGAATGATGGAGCCATTACAGTATAATTCATGTAACCAGTTAATTCATGTAACCATTACAGTATAATCGATGGCGCTATTAAAGTATAAGTTGCAAACATTAAAGTATAATAGATGCATCCATTACTGTATAATTGATGGAGCCATTAAAGTTTAAGTTGCAAACATTAAAGTATAATTGATGGAGCCATTAAAGTTTTAGTTGCAACCATTAAAGTATAATAGATACAACCATTACAGTATGAATGATGGAGCCATTACAGTATAATTCATGTAACCAGTTAATTCATGTAACCATTACAGTATAATCGATGGCGCTATCCTAATATATAAAAGCCCAATGTGCGCACATCTCTCTCTCTCTCTCTCTCTTTCTCTGTCCGCAAAAATTTTTCGCCGGACATCACGTCAGAATCGGCAGCGATATATCGAGAATTTTTTACGGACTTTTGTTGAAAATAATATGTTAGATGTTTTAAATGTATAACCACAATTTTAGTTAAAGAAGAAAAATAAAAATTAAAGGCGTATTCGAATGTAGGGAAACAGTATTATTTATGCAACCGGAAAAGCATTAATATATGTGAAAAAGAACGCATAAAACTGTGACGTCACTATTGCTTATACATTAACTAATGACGTCATCTGCCGTGTTTAGAATGAAAAGAAATGAACTATTTCATTCAAATTTGATTTAGATCTACGTACACTATGAAATGTATACAATACAATTTTTCCGGCCTAAACTCATAACATTTATTTTATGTATTTGGATTCTAGATCTAGAGATTCTAGATCTAGACTAAATCTAAATCTAAATCTACGCAATAACTAGATCTAGACGTAGACGCTAAGATCTAGATTTAGACTCTAACTTCTCTAAAATCAATTCCAAAAATAAATTTCTATATTAGGACTAAACTATTTCAAGACTTATTTATTTTATACAAAATCTTTGTTTGGAACTGGCTAATTTGGGATAAAAAATTAATTTGAAAGAATAGGCATATTCGCGTAAGTTAAGATTTTAAAATACGTGTTTCATTCTCCGTATTTTATAAGGTGCCTAAATAGCGGAGATGTTAGTGTACATTAAACCACGCAGTTGGTGCGGGTTCGAGACACAGAAGGTCAACTTGGTTAATGTATTCTTTTTTAATATGCTCGGGCTAAACTTTAAAAAAAAATTCTATTAGGAATCTAGATCTAGATCTAGATTGTCGGGTGTCCGATAGGGCACTTCCCGGCGCCGCAGGCGCTTCAAATTTGGCATGATCTTGCCTTGGTGCGACAGAACACGGGGGCCGGTTGGCCGAAAAGTCTACGATGTGGGGGTCAAAACTGACCTCGACTGACCGGTACCTTATATGAGCTATAAATCGAAAAAAAATGTCCACGGAGGAACCTCTTCATAACTCTTGAGGTCGTAGACCGACCTTCGGGCGAATTAATTAAGCATTCAAATTCTCAATGTTTTCGAAAGCCTAAGCGAAGCTGGGCAGCATGCCTAGTTAAAGTATAAGTTGCAAACATTAAAGTATAATAGATGCATCCATTACTGTATAATTGATGGAGCCATTAAAGTTTAAGTTGCAAACATTAAAGTATAATTGATGGAGCCATTAAAGTTTTAGTTTCAACCATTAAAGTATAATTGATGGAGCCATTAAAGTTTAAGTTGCAAACATTAAAGTATAATTGATGGAGCCATTAAAGTTTAAGTTGCAAACATTAAAGTATAATTGATGGAGCCATTAAAGTTTTAGTTGCAACCATTAAAGTATAATTGATACAACCATTACAGTATGATTGATCGAGCCATTACATTATAATTCATGTAACCATTTTATTCATGTAACCATTAAAGTAGCGTCACAAAGACTCACAAGGCGGGGCCGGGGGGGTGCAGTCCGAACCATTTTAGGGGTGGCACCATATCGAAAAGTCATAATGTACTCTCAAAACTATGATTTATCCAGTTAAAATAATAAAATATTTGGGGAAATGGGATGACACCAACCCGAAAAATGCAAATATTTTTTGGAGAGGGTAAGCAGACACCCTCAGTTACTGCACTGGGGTGAAACCCGTCCTAGCGACGCCACTAAGTATAGATAATGTCGTCAGATAATGTCGTCATGCAGCAAATCAGACAAGCCTTCGTCCTCTACTCACGTGAATCTGTGGGCGGGGCTTCAGTGGCACCCTTGGCTGTGGAAGATAGTTTGAAAATTTTAAAAAATATTTTACGTCTGGGAATTTTAGAAGTTTATTTTGGGCATCTCTTCTCTATTCCCCCCCCCCCCCCCCCCCCAAAAAAAAGCACTTCTTTCTCTCTTCCCCCCCCCCCTCCCCGAACGTAATAGAATTTATATGAAAAAAAAGTACTTTTTCTGGTGTCCGACCACCCCCTTCACCCCCCCCCCCCATCCCGCAAAATGTAGTCAGCCGCCCCAACCTCGAAATTTTCAAGTCCCACCCCTTTCTCACTTCCCGGTGAAAAAAGTCTTTACTAAACACTGCTTGTTTGGGGGCGGGTGCAGGATAGTGGGATAGCTGGTTTATTTCTTTGAAAAATTGTGTTCTTTATTGTAGGGCTGGTACAAAGAAATTGTATTTAATACTGCCAATGGTATAACAAGCAATTTTATCTCAGGAACTAAAAATTAAAGGGCATTTAGATTTTTTAATTTATAAATCCCTACATTTTTGTAGCACCAAATTATATTATTTCTGGGTGGTGGTCTCTGTTATATATATATATATATATATATATATATATATATATATATATATATATATATATATATATATATATATATATATATATATATATAGCTGCTGATGATTTATGAAAATGTTAAATAGGGGTTAGTGATATATGGAATTATATGGACATTTTAAATAATGTTATATCGATACTTTGCACTGTAATAAAAACAAAAGTAATAGAGGCAAAAAAATGAAAATGGCTATGGAATATATATATATATATATATATATATATATATATATATATATATATATATATATATATATATATATATATATATATATATATACATACATATCGATAGATAGATATAACAACCGAATGACTATGAATAAACATCAGACTTAGTATAGCATCATGACAAGTTGTCTTTCTGGAAGTATGGCTGGTTAAATCAGTGCCCTCACAGCCTTAACAAACCTCACGACCAGCCTACTCTCACAAAGGGCTAATATTGTCTGAAGAATACAACACCTTCACGATATGGCCAAAAAAATGTCTAAATAAAGTCAATACTGTATGAGAAATGCAACCTACCTGACGAAATGAGATGAACAAAAATCAAAATAAATAAAGTTTTCATCTTCAGGAATTAAAAAGCAACAAAAATCTCCCCTTTTATTTAAAATGTGTTCTTTTCGCTTAAACAGTGATATAATATATAACGATGCAAATATATTATAAGACAAGAATCTACCGCTGCTTTTATACGAATGTATTTAAGGTTTTGCCTCCCTGGCAATTACATGTTAAATGTTACAGTTTCTTTTCAGATCCGGTTCCTGTTTCAAGACGAGGGGGGTTTATTTCGAGCTCTACATTTCTCGGGGGTAACAAAAACTCGTAGAAATAGCATTCAAGCGATACGTTTAGAGGTGAAGTGGGGAGGTTCTGAAATAAAGGTCTTTTCAAGCTTCATAAACTTACCGCAAGAAATGTCTATAGCCATTTGTTATGCATTTTGTTATGCCAACATTAGGCACATGACGGTAACGTTAAAAAAAATACCCTTATAAAAAATGTTTTAAAAGGGTCAGTGTTATGGTTAAAATTTTGTTTGATTTTTTATATCTCAGGGTAAGCTTAAAATGTATGGCTGAATAATGAATATCAGTGATACGTGAACGTTGTTAAATGATAAAGTACAAAAAAATATGTTCCAAAAAAAGTTGTTATAGCTTTTAAAAACAAACAAAAATTAAGGAGCTCCAAAATCGACATGCGCTAAGTTAAGTAATTTTTATTTTTAGAACACTTGCAAAAATATGAGGAAACATTTAGTGAAGTATGTGGCTCGTAGTAAAGTGGCATCGAGCTGTATCGCAGACACGAGTTCGATTCCCAGAGTAAGTCTACCCAGCTCTGATATATGGGCCCATTTAAATCCACTGTGTAGGCTTAACTATATCTACCCAGCTCAGATGTGTAGCCCTACCTGAATCCACCCAGCTCAGATGTGTAGCCCTACCTGAATCCACCCAGCTCAGATGTGTAGCCCTACCTGAATCCACCCAGCTCAGATGTGTAGCCCTACCTGAATCCACCCAGCTCAGATGTGTAGCCCTACCCAGTGGCGTAGCGAGGTCGTGTGTTACCCGTTGCGGCACTTAATGGTGTCACCCCCCAGAGGCGCAGCGACCCTTCCCAGGGACGAATTTTCGATTTACACCACCCCCTCAAACTTTCGATTTGCACCCCCCCCCCCCCCATCAAACTTTCGATTTTCTCTATATATTTTGCTATGTTTTTGCCTTGGTGTCACCTCCCGCGCCCCCCCCCTCGCTACGCCTCTGGCCCTACCTGAATCCACCCAGCTCAGATGTGTAGCCCTACCTGAATCCACCCAGCTCAGATGTGTAGCCCTACCTGAATCTACCCAGCTCAGATGTGTAGCCCTACCTGAATCTACCTACTTCTTCTGTGTAGGTTTACCTGAATCCAGCTCTCAGTCTAAGTCATAACTTGGCGAAACTTTCGAAACGTCAGGAAAAATTCAGCATATATTGGAGATTATTTTGACTTCTTTCGGCTTGTTGCAAACGTCAGAGACAGAGGCGTAGCGACCCTTCCCGGCGCCCGGGGACAAACTTTTCGATTTGCACACCCCCCCCCCCTCGAGATTTTGATTTGCACCCCCCCCCCCCCTCAAACTTTCAATTTGCACCCCTCTCAACTTTTCAATTTATTTTTCCAACCCATTTTGGCGCCCCCTAAGCTCGGCGCCCAGGGACATGTGTCCCCCCCCCCCCGCCCCGCCCCCCCCCCCCCCCCTCGCTACGCTACTGGTCAGAGACTGGATCTCACGGGAAGTTTTCAGCAAGAAAGAACACCATTTGGTTCTCATTGAGGTAAATGAAATAGGGTTCAGCTGTTTCTTAGACCACGATAAAGGAAATTATAGTGTGGTCAACCAGCCACTTTTACTTTCCTTAACATGGGTGGACTCATGGCTCAGGAACTTCTAACGGATTCAAGTCCGAGATTTGAACTCAAGACTTTCGTGTTGCCAATCGTACACTCTACCATCCGACCACGAAGTCCCATTTTGTTTGAAGAAAAGTGCGCAAAAATATCGATTCTCATAACGAGGTATATTTTTCTATACTGCAGTACGCTGGTTGTCGAAAGCTAATTTGAATCGTGTCATGAATTTAAAAATGAAGTTTTTTTCTGGGACATTCAAGGGCAACACGTTAACAACAAAGTATGGATGATAACAGTATCATATCTAGCAGATATACCATCATAGCAAATAGGCTTAACCTGAAATAAAGGGGGGGGGGGGGTCGCTGGCAACTTGGTCAATTTAAAAAGATGGTTGCCACCAGAAAAAGTTTGGGAAATAGAATGTCAGAAAAGGTTTAGAAAGACTTGGGAAAGCGATGTTGACTAAAATATAAATCCGCAAAAACACTTTGAAGTTTTAAAAAAAAAAATTTGAATTGGAGACCCATTTATGTCAAAAAAAATATCACCCACACAATGTTTTAAGCTGTGTGGGAGGACGAAATAAGCTTGGGTGTGGCTGAATGTGTGCTCTAGATTCAAGACTGGGGCGAAGGCTCTGAGTGACGGGGGGGGGGTGGAGGAGGAAGGGGAGAGAGATAGGGGGGAGCTGACTCGGAAGCACGGATTCCTTTACGGTCCGCTGATAAGTGCGTCTCTTTCAAAAACATTTCACACACACAAGAGTTACGTCGTCTACGATTTCATCTGGAGTTCATATAAAACATTATAATACATCTAAATAAGTAAAAGAGAATGGGAGAAGTAATGTTTTCGTTCGTTTTAGTTAGATTCTACTAAATCATTTCTAGTATTAAAATCGACATTGCCGATGTAACTAAGTGCTAGAAGTTGCGTGTGCGTTTGCTAGTACGAATGTGTTTCAGTGTCTTGTGTGTGAGTGTGTGTGTGTGTGAGTAAGTGTGTGTTTCTGTGTGTGAGTGTTTTCGCGTGTGTGTGCATTTGTGTGTAACTACCCCACCCTCCTCTTCCACTCTATTCGATGGTGATATACAGAAAAGGTATGTAATACTGATTAGCTATTGTTTATTATCATTGTTTATACATTTCTCTTGTGCACAATAGCTGGATGTTGATACAACTGACTAATAGGCCCAAATGTTGTTAATTTTGTTTTTGTAAGCAAGATGCAATAAACAATTTCCTCTAAAATGATGCGGTCATGTATTTTAGTTCCGATCATTTTTCAAGTGGGCTTACTATACTTTTGCCATACGATGCGGGGTTGTAAAATATAGAAATGTTATATAACACATATGGGGCAGGGGTGGAAAAAAAGTCGTACTTGTTTTATACTATGTGCGCGGTCCGTCCGTAACATAGAAATCGGCAGCGCCGAACGTCACATCACGTTCTTCTGTTCTAGATTTAGAACCCGGGCATTGAATCGGATTTGGCCGGTGACCTATTTCATGTAAACTGACGACAAAACCTATTATAAAAGTGCTTGTAGGACCGACCTGTGTTTTCAGATGCGGGTATGGCTGTTAGAGTTAGGGCAAGAGTTTTGGTTTATGCATGGGTCTCCAAACTACGGCCCGCGGGCCTCATGCGGCCCACGAGGTCCTCTCATCCAGCCCGCGGAGATCTTTTTGTCCACGGAAAATGTGAAGAAAAATGTGTATATATTTGAGGGGGGGGGGGGGTTAGACATTTTTCGGTAGGGGGGGGGAAGGAGGGGGGGGAAGCTGGAATAAACTCTGGCCCCCGAACTGATATTTGATAGTTAATGCGGCCCTCGGAAAGAAAAGTCTGGAGACCCCTGGTTTATAGGATTAGGATCAGGACTAAAAATCAATAGTGTAAGAGATATGGCCAGCTTACGGTAACGTTCTGAACAACAACAAAAAGAATCGAATACGAATAGAGTTTGATTCAAATCCGGTTGTGGAATTCCAAGCTTAATTAGCAATCCGTGAAGAAAATATAATGATGAAAAAAATCAGGCTAGGGGCTCATCCATAACTGACGTCACGCTTTTTTTGGACAATTTTTACCTCTTCCTTCCAACCCCTCCATCACAGCTCATAAAAGGTCGGACGCCCCCCCCCACCCTCTAAAATGACATCACGCCTCCGCCTACAACCCCCCCCCCCCCCCCTCCACCAAAATTTGTAATTTAATTTTGTTTTTATACATGGATCGATTTCATTCTAAAATATTATATTGACTGCGCTCGGTCAGTATAGAGTATATTGGTTTATGTTGCAATTTACTAAAACAGATTTCTAAAACGCTAAATAACGACTAAAATCAGTTTCTAACATTACTAATTTTAAAAACAAATTAACTTCACCCCCCCCCCCCCTCCCTCCGCTATATTTAGAGATTTGAATGGAAACGAACGATAACTCGTTTACTATAGTTGTTACCGCCCCTTGTAGTCTATTTTTTTTTCTTTTTTTTTTATTACTATAAATCTCTCAAGCTTGTAAATTTAGGCATTTTTAAAGTGGCAAATTTAGCGTATATATAAGAACAGTAAATATTTTTAGAAGTAAACTTTCTGAGAAAATAAAGAATTAATATTTTACTAGTATTACTGAATACTAGTAATAATTTTGCGGTAAAAATAATAATTTAGATAATAAATGAAACAATATTTTTGAAGGTTATAAACTAGAAAAAGAAAACATAAAAATAAAGTCAGCAACAAAACACAAACACAAGAAAAACTATTTTTATAATCAATTTAATGAAATTGTTTTTAATTGCATCAATTTATTTATTTTTAATTTGGATTCAAATTTTCAACATAAAAAAGACATGAAACGAATTCATTCAACTGTAAATTACATGAAAGTTGATTTAGATGATGGTACAACAGAACAACATTAAAACACAACATTGTTGTACGTTACAATAAATTGATTTCTAAAATATCTTGCATGTTGTAACATACTGGGATGAAGGTAAATTTGAACTAAAATTAAACATAACAATGTAGTCGGTTACAATAATTTACTCCTAAGGTATCCTTCATTAGAATTTTGAAACATACTAGAATGAAGAAAATTGTATGTTTAATTTGTATGTTACTACTAGTGAATACACCAGAACATACTGTGATGATGATACTATGTGTAAATGGTATTATAAATTGCTTTAGACTAGACAAGAAATTCAGAAAATAATTTTTAATCATAATCCTGACTTGCAACAACAGCAAAGAATATGTTAATGTTTTGTCCAGGAAATATATTTTTTAAGTACCAAAATACAGAAACAACAGATTTTACACACTTATAGGAGCTAGATGGTCACCTTACAGACTCAGATAAAATACTACATGACCACAGTTCTCAGAAGCTAGTAGTTAAATGTTCTGTTGGTGAACAATAATAACCCCAAATTTTGAAATTGACCACAGTTTATAGGCCATTATCTACCATTGAGTAATAAAACATGAAAAACAAACTTCATTTTGTTGATGTAATTTTTGACTGCGCTTTCCAGCATTCCACTGGCCCAACACCATCTCCAATGAAAGGGTACTAGGAGAAATAGAATCTGTTTCAGAAATAATTGAAAAAAAGATGGCGCTAGATGGGTCACATTATAAGAAGTTCAGATTATGTCACAGGAAAAAGGAAAGGATGCCTCAAGGAAAAAGGAAACTGGGAAGGCCAAGAGAGACGTGCAGGCGCACTGTAGAAAAACAACCTACAAGAGCAGGAATATCTTGGGGAAATGCCAAGAAAATTGCCAGAGCCCAATAAAAATAGAAATAGCTTTCTATAAAGGCCCAATGTGTCTGACATAAAAGGGAAAAGATGATTCAGGGACAATCACACTTGAGCAATTTTCTGGTGAGTTGTGAACTCTTTTATTTGAAAGTTTTGTGAGCTGTCTTGTATTTCTAACAACCAGAACAAGTTTATACAAGTGTTGTAAAACAAATTATAAAAAATTGCTTTAGTTAACTCACCTAATGGCCCTATCTAGCTGTCAAAAATGTATAGCTAGTAATTCAATTCTAAGTATAAAAATGAAACAAGAGTACAAGATATTTAACATGAGGTGAAAGAGGATAGACAAATGGAATGTAAGTCAGCACAACTAAGAGCCACAAATCTTGTAGTTCTTCTGTAGTTAAGGTATAAAATACCTCTAATATGGGACAGTATATTGAAGTTATACTGATCCATATTTGATTTTTGACCCATAATTTAGCAATTCAATTCAAACCATGTACTACACTCATACATGGGTTACTTACTATTGGTAGTTTTAGCCTAGTAAAAAAAGTCAGGACTTGCTCAGCTACACACATTTTTAAAATAATTTTTGTTCAGAATATTAATAATCTGGTTGAGAGAGTGAAAAAAACCCACAAATAAACGATGAATAAATCGTATTTAAAGCAAGTTTGTAAATATGCTCACAAAATGTATTTGGTTAAAAAAAACTAAATGCAATTATAAACAGAAATAATACCCTTTCAAATTACAACTGCAAATAATTAGACATAAAACAAAGATGAAAGTAACGTATTTTCTTAGAGTATACGTATAAAGCCTAAATTAAATACATATGTATATTTTGTTTAAAACACAATTAAAACTGTTAACTTAAAAATGCAAAATTTAAATAATACTTAGCACAAGAAAAGCAGAAACAATAAAAAAAATTGTATAAATAACACACAGAAAATCACTTTAAATTGCAGGAAATTTCTAAAATCTAATTTCTCTAGAACACAGCCACATAAATAAAATGATAACAAAACTTTTATTAAGCTACTGAACAGAAGATAATAATTTTGAATTTTAATATCTGTTAGTAATTCAAAATAATAATGTTTTTCCACTATACAAATTCACAATGAAAATTAAATTTACTTTTAGAACAACATCATTTATTTTATTTTATATTAATGAGATATTGTAATTAGTTTTTAAAAACTATACAATGAAACTCATTCTAGTGATAGTACCTTGAAGAAAAATAATATTTCCAAACTAACCTACAGTACAATTATCATTTTTTTAATATCAGTATTACTCTAAAATTACAGCCATTCAACCTAGTGACTTAAATAAATTTTCATTACACAATTAGAAAGCTAATTCTAGAGCACATGAATGGTAAACAAAGGAGTTGCTTCCCCTACATGTTTGTGAGGAAACACACCTATGCTTGGGACAACAGAATAAAATAATGTTTGGCCTAGAATTCATCCACAGTTAGCTTAACCAGTCCAAGTCATCATCATCACTGTCATCACCAAACAGGGGCGGGGGAGGCTGAGGCTTTAAGTCCTGGGGGGTATAAAAAAATGTAATTTAAAATTAATACCTCAACAGAAATTACTTTAACAGGTAGATCTAAGTTCTTTCTTTCCTTTTTAAATAGGCTGAAAACCTTCATTCTTGTAACAAAATTGACTAAATAAGGTGTATCTTTTCAATGCATTAATATAGCTAATCATAAAAAGGGAATCTGCAAGAGGCCTATAATGAGAGGAAATGTCTCCTCTATGAATGAAGTTCACTTTTCTTCTAACTGCTCTGAGTTAACCCAGTATTGATGATAGACATTCCTAGACCTGACTGACCCTACTGACAACTTGACAAGCCCTAGCCTTAACTGACAAAAGCCTAAACTGACAAAAGCCTAAACTGACAAAAGCCTAAACTGACAAAAGCCTAAACTGACAAGCCCTAGCCTTAACTAACAAGTGTCAACACTACCCACCTCTTCATTAGTGAGGTCCAGTTTCCTGCCTGGTGTTGTTTTGGTTTTGCTATCAGTGGGTGTGGCACTGGACTTGGGGGCGGGCTCAATGCCCAGTGTGTCTGACACGATACTGTCTTGACCAAACAATGGACTGGGAAAAAATTGTTCAAGATCTTAAAAAATATTCAGCATAGTAGTACAGTAGAGTGCATGGCTCCTAGCATGAAAGTCTTGAGTTCATATCCCGAGCTCTAGTCCATAGAACATCCCTGAGTCTACTATGTTAAGGAAGTAAAGGGGACTGGGCAGAGTGCTGATCACAACATCCCTTCATGTGGCTAGGTCAGAGAAACAGGTAAACTCTACTTCATCTGCCCCATGGCCCACCAGGTTCAAAAGGGTAACTGATTTTTAACTTTAACAAAATATTGGTATTTCTTTTTGAGAAACATTTTTAAAACAGGTATCAAGAATCTATATATATATAATTCTCTTCTTGGAGACGCTAGAAAACAAGCAATAAGCGCACTCCCTACCACCCCACCCCTACCTGGTCTGGTGAGCTGTGGTTCACGCTAAATGTTTACAATCATAGAGCCGGGTTTAGTGACGGTTAGTAGAGGCAGATAATTTAGTTTGAAACAATTTTAAACTTAGGGGAGGTAGCTTGGGGGGGGGGGGGGGGGGTGTAGGGTAGGGGTTGGGGGAAAGGAGGGTGGGGTAGTATTGTCCTTAACGACCTACTGATAGTGTTTTAAAGCAAATATTTTCAGTGGCAGCATTGGTACTGTCGAATTCACAAATTATGAATTACTGAAAAGTAGAAAATAAAACAACTAAATAGCAGTACATGTGTAGCGTGGGCTACTTAGAAAGGCCTTCCAAAAAATATCCACCGATTCCTGAAGCAGTATTACAGTTGTTGCATAGTAAGTTACTTTATTAAACATTATTCTTATTAATAATATATTGTTATTTTATTCAAAATCAAGGGTAATATTTATTCCCAGTTATGAAAAATTTCAGAATATACATTAAATAACATTAAAAGTGTTTATGTTTTACAACATATTTTTAAAAATCTCCCCATTATATAATATTTACTTTTGTATTTCGATTTTAAATACTTTATTTTACCCACTCTGTGTTTGTCTCCCTTATATATTTCAGAAACACAAATGGGATGCAATTTAGAATATTAACTATTTTAACTATTAAATTTAAGTGTTTTATGTTTATAATCTAGGATTTTCTAGAACATGGTAGACGAAAACCAGAGGCGTATACTGGTTTTCGGGTTTGTAATTGTCAAATTCAACTAGATCACTAATTAATGTAGTTTATTAAGATTTATTTTACATTTTTTTTCTACAATCAGAATTAAATATATTTCTTAATAAATGCTAAAACATCACAGAATAAAGAAAGTTTATAAAAATGGAGTTGGTATAAACATGCGCTTTTAGATTGTATGGAAATTTATAGCTAATAGGTGGAAAATTCTGAAATAAAGCCCACATATATAATGGTATCTAAATTTTTAATCTTGCACATCAGATCCTATATTTTTGAATTAGCTACTACTTTTTGTGTTCTTTAAATACTATTTTTTAACATAATGTTAAGGTTTGGGTTAGTAGATCACTATATTGCTCACACACCTCCTTATTGGTAATTGTACAAACAATATTCACAGAGTTGTACCTGTTTCAAAAGTCGTGATCCTGATTGTAAATTAAACAGCTATAGTAATTCTTTATTTGAAGTTTGCTTATTAAGATTTTGGAGGCTGTTGTACTCTTACAGTGTTTCTATATTGTTTACCCGAGGTATGTAAGTATATGTTCGGTAAGTACATCTGTACGTGCTGATCATCTATTCATACTAACGTTCTTACAATTTTTTATATTAATATTGACAAAAAGAAATCAAGACTATATTACATAACGTGGGTATGGTAAAGGCAGATTTCAGTGCTTTCTGTTTGCGTTAACATATTGGTTAAAAAAAAAAACAAAGACCTACCTGTCTTCATCATCTTCATCATCATCATCAAACAGGGGAGGGGGAGGGTCCCTGGCATCTGTGTCTGTGGGTGCTTTTGGTGCCACCAAAGTGCTGGCCTCGAGACTTGCCCGCTTGCTTTGTTCAGCTGTCTGATCATCTACTAGTGCAGTTTTTTCTTCTGATTCATGTGTATCACTTACTGGTGCTGGATCAAATCCGTTCTGCTCCACTGCCTTGTCTTGTTTAACATCCATGTCTTCGATTTCCGGAAGATTCTCATGTGCATTGTGGTAATTTTCTACATCGCTATCTTCTTTCTGAGCTGTCTCATCTGCTGATTCTACATTTGAATTTAAGGCCTCATTCTGATTAACAACATCTTTTTCTGAAACCCCACCATTTTTAACAACTACATCTTCACTGGTGTCTATTCCGCTAACATCATCACTGGTGGCAATTTCGTTTTCTGTTTCAACTGCACCTAAACTTGACAGAGTCTCCAGAATCTGCGGAACTTGAGACTGGCTAACCGGGGACTGAGATCGCTGGGTTCCAGACTCAACATGGCTGACAGTTTCTGTCGCAGCTTTCTGTTCTATGTTTTCTGAGCGAGATGCCTCTTCAGCTAGGTAGCGGCCATCTTGTGTGCCGGTTTCAGCAACAGGTCTCACCGCAGCTTCACTGTCTGGCTGCGTCACCTCTTCAATGACTGAGGGGTTAAAGGTTAACTCATTATTTAAATTGTGGATTGAACTGTTTCAATATGTTAATTATTTCGCAATTTTATCTGTTATTGTCTTTACCTTGTTGTATTAACAACTTCTACTAAAGTGATACCAAGTTATTTCTTATAGTAATAAATAATTTTAATTCAACTATAGGTACATCATTTACGCCGAATGAAAAAGAAAACATTGGATTATTCAAAAATGATTCAAAAAGCCAAAGAATGTTAGAACACTGCAGACTGTCTACCCCTGACAGCTGAGACACACCATAAGACATCACTATATAAACACATGCAAACACATGTCCAAGCCTATGCAGATTTTTTTTTTAAATAATTAATAACAGAGAACACTACACAGACTGAGGCAACCTTCTACAAAACCCCAAAACAGGTTTTTAATATCAAAATAATTGTGACAATTTGACTTTTTAACTAGCACAATTATTTAACTGCGTCAAAAATAGAAATTAAAATTTAAGAAATTAAAATGAATAAATGGCTTGGATTACTCAGGGATGTAAAAAAAATTAAACAAAAATATGGCTTTTTTAAAGATACTAAACCAACTTACTATGTATCAGTTATAAGATGACCCCAATGTTTCCAGTTAAAATATACAGTTTGAATATATAAGTGCTTTAATAAAAGGCACCCAGCATACAAAATAAACCTCAACTTTGGAGAAATTTTCCTGAGTTAAAAAGTTATCTTATATGCTAGAAAATACAGTAATTCTTTAAACTATGTAAATATCTTTGTATTTGTATTATTTTAATTTTCTACTCTCTCTACAATATTTCCAGACCTTCTTCATCGACTTCATCAACTCCAGCCTCTTCCTTCTTTTCCTCTTCTTCCTCATCCTCTTCCTCCTCTTCCTCCTCCTCCTCACTCTCTTCTTGACGAGAGGCAGCTTGATTGACAAGTTTTAAAGTTGTTTGCTGCAAGTCAAAAACTTTTAATTTTTACTTTTAAGTCTCAATTTTTAAGCACAGAAATAAAACTTAAGAAGCATTGTGATCAAGGTCGATATTAGAGCAGCTGAAGTAGAGTTCATCTATTTGTCTGAGCACTAACTTGGACACAAAGTGTGGCCAGTCAAATGTCTATAAACTTGACTTTTATTAGGTACTAATTGAAGCTAATTTGACTCAGCAAGTGTAATACTATATACACTATCTACACAACACAGTCTATTCTAAATATAAATACATGCACTAGTACACAAACTAAGATACAGTGGCTATCTAACAGTACAGAACTAATTTACACTAACCTTGTGGAAGGACTGGACTTAAACTGAGGCACTCACACACATTCACACACACCTTATACACCCTTACAGAAAACATGTATAAACCAGACTATCACAACTCACAGCACAAGGATTGAACAGGGATGAACGGGACAGGGTACAAAATATAAACAACATTCACCTCCCCTTCACTCATTCACTACACGCAAGTTACCTTAATAGCGTTTAAGATGGTGGCTAGAACCTCCGAGCCTGCGTAACTCTCATCTGCCTCAAACTCACTCCTCAAGGACTGGTAGACAGAGTTCATTATCTTCTTCACCTGATGGAACAAAAGGACTATTGTTCAGATGAAGTAGAGTGTATTTGTTTATTTGATGTTAGCAAAAGACAAAATAGCTTGGGCAATTGTGTGACCAGAAACATTTACTATTTCAAGTCAGGTACTCATTAGAGATCAGTTTACTCAGGGTAACCTTCAGACTTACCACATGAAATAAGATTCTCTGGTTAGCAGTCATGTACTCTACAAAATCTTAACATTCCAATGTAGCAAGTTAAGCAATGAAATAGTAAATGAATTATCAACATAAAATTTCAACTTCACCATGGTTGATTTCAAATGACATCAATGACATTTCAGCTTTACTTGAGTTGATTTTTAAATTACATCAAAATGACCTTTCAACTTTACCTCAGTTGCCACATCAGCGCTGGCCACAGTGGGTGTGACAGCAGGCTTGTGCTGGGTTGCCACGTTGGCCTGCGCCCTCAGCTGTTGGACCTGCTGCTGCAGTTGCTGTATCTGCTGCAGGAGGTCCTGCCTCTGCTCCTTGGCTTTCTCTACTATCTCACTCCGCCTCTCCTCGTCCTCCTCCTTGTCTTTCTCCAGCTCCTCCAGCCTCTTCTCGTACTTCTCCTTCATGCTGGCAGCTTGGGATCTTAGAGTGTCGTACTTTCAGAAAAACAAAAATGTTTTTATATTTCCTCAACTACTTTAATAATAATTTACTAAATTCAACCACTTTTGTTTTACAACCTTTTTTCACTTGCTTTATCTAAACAAAATGTATTTTATAATATGACGCACATCTAATAGAATGCTTTCAAACAAGGCTTCTATTTTCATTTCTTTAGTCGAAGGATTTAAACTTCAGTGGGTTTTTCATTCACTTATGTTTTTATATATGTTTGTAAAACATTTAAATTACAAAAGTCAAGAGTTATCTACCTTGTCTTTCCATATTTTCATGTCTGCTAGCTCATCTTGCAAGAGTGTTATCTGTTTCTCTGTGGATGATCCTGATGACCTAACTGTGATTATCTAGTTTAAAATAATTGTTTTATTAATAAAGTAAATCAATATTATTAAAAATTAATGCATTTTAAAAAGCCTTCAGAACATTCTACTTCATGCTAAGAAAATCAAAACAAAATTTTACTATATTTCATTATTGTAATTACTACATTCATCATCATGTATTACACATTTTTAGACATTTTTTGACATGGGGTGTGTACTCTCAACTTAGTATTATTTTACTAATTTTAGAACCATTACAACAGAGCAGACATTAGATGTGTTCACCCAAAATTATAACATCAAATTTCACTTGATTAAAATAATTGTATTATTGGTGTGCATTGATGCTAAGAGAGAAGTAATTCTGGATAGAAAGGCAGAAAAGGTGTATAGACAAGAGGTAGGATGATACTGTTCAGTTGATAGAAAATTTACTTGATTTCTTTTACCATGGTGGTAATAAAGGAAAAAAAAAAGAATTTAATTTTTATATGAATAAAGTATCATCCAAGAAATTTTCATTTAAAAACACAATAGTAATAATAGTAATAATTTGTGTAACATAATTTTTTATCAACAGAACAAAATGGTTTACAGAAAAAAATGAATCCTACCTTTTTCTCTAACTCATCCACTTTACGCAGCAGTTCCTCCTTCTCACTCTTCAAATCCTCTATTTGTCTGTTGTGTTTCTCAGTGACGGCAGACATCATTCTGTCACACTTGATCTGCCACTCACGAGAGATGTCTTCCTCGATCTTTGACATCTGAAAATTTTTTAAAAAAGGTTCCCCAATTATCTAAACTTTTTTTCATTTAAATCAACCATTTTGGAACACTGGGACACAGGGGACATCAGCCAAGTGCCTGATTGCTAACCCAAAGTCTGGAGTTCAGTTCATAACCTTGGGTTTGATGGATGTCAGTGAGTAAACTCAGCACTGAAAGCTATCCGGCTTAAGTTGGCTCAAAATGGCTCTATAGTCTAATAAACCATAGAATGATTGCGCATTGGAAATCCAAGCACAAAGCCAGTTGCAGCCCATGTATCAGGCCCCCCCCCCTCCTGTCTCCAAACAGCTGATGGACCCAGGGCTCAATATAGTGTTGTTCAAACAATTCTTTCACCAGCTGAGGTAGAAGAATCATATGAACTCTATCTGGTCTGTAAGGGTGCTTTACTTTAAACTTTTAAAACAACATCGCATAATTAGAAAGCCACATCAGTTTACTAACCATTTGATAATACTGCCAAATTTAAGTTTCTTTAAGACATTTTTTTTCTGGCAACTGGGATTAATGTTTTTACCTTACTCTCCGTCTCTGTATCTACTGATGACTTTTGTTTGCGAATTCTTTCTCTCAGACTTTCAATTGTTTGCTATGGAAGAAAACACATTTTCTGGATGGTAGAACCAAAAAGATAGATCATCCATGGATGTGACCGTAAAATATTGATTTGTATTTGTACCATGATTTCCATCTCTACTTTCTTTTCTCTAAGCTCCCCCCCCCCCCATAATTTTCTAGGTTGTTCTAGTTGACTGACCAGTGGTCATCTGCCTTAGCTGTCATTGGCAATAAGTCACAACATAGCTTTATTACTATCAAACTTATCCTGTCCATGACTCATCAGTGAGACCCTCCTAACAGTTAAATTATGTTCTTTTAATTTTACTCATTAGTTTTTAAAACTGTTAGGATGTATGTTAGTATCCATCTAGTTTTAACAAAGGACACATGAACCAAAAGCCAACAGTGATCCAACAAATACAATAATGATGACATGACAGACCCAATTAGGACATGACAGACACTAATAATGATCCAACAATGACCTGGTCAACCAAACAACAACTGACCTCATAGCTAATTTTAGCATCCTCCATGTCCTCTTCCATTTTCCTCCTCTCCTCCGCAGCCTTTCTCTTCCTCTCAGTGAGGTTCTGTGGAAAGTAATGTGTTATATACAAACTACATACTGCTTCATTAAGGTGTAAGAATGTTTTATTTATTATTTAAGCACAGAAAAGGAAGCCACAAACCAAATTTATATTTCTTTGAAAATAAATGTTAATTCCACTTTAGGAAATATTAGAAAGAATGAAGGGGAGCATATTGTAGAAGGAAATTACACAACACACAACATACATCACTAACTCCCCCGCCCTCCCCCCATTTTACACCAAGCTTTTATTTCCCGATACAAAACAGTGTGTCCTTCACCTTACTGTCTTACCTTTTCCAAAGTTGAGTGGGCGGCCTTCAAGTCAGTCAGCTCTTCAACCAAGCTGGTCAGCTTAACATCTGCAGCTTTACGTGCTTGCTTCTCTTCTCGTATGCTGGTGTTTAGGGTGGCTATTTTCTGTTCATCCTCTGCTCAGGAAATGTAAAACATCAATTATTAGCATAAATACACATGGATTAGTATTTTTAAACAGTGATTATAAAGTTAGGTGAATACATACACGAGAGAAATTAATTTATTGTCTTTCAAAATTTTGTTCCATTGCTGATAAAGACAATTGTATTTTTAACTGTCCCAATTTTTTAAACCTGAATTTTTTAAGTTGAACTAAGGTTAGCTCTCACCCTAAACCTCCTGTCTGGTCACTTAGTTCTAAGCTCTTTGTTGTCACAGCTAACCTCAGCTCTAACCCATCTAACTTCAGCTTTAACCCAGCTAAGCTCAGCTCTTACCCAGCTAACTTCTGCTCTAACCTCAGCTTTAACCCAGCTAAGCTCAGCTCTAACCTAGCTAACTTCTGCTCAAACCTCAGCTCTAACCCAGTTCAGCTCAGCTCTAACCCAGCTAAGCTCAGCTCTAACCTAGCTAACTTCTGCTCAAACCTCAGCTCTAACCCAGTTCAGCTCAGCTCTAACCCAGCTAAGCTCAGCTCTAACCCAGCTAACTTCTGCTCTAACCTCAGCTCTAACCCAGCTAAGCTCAGCTCTAACCCAGCTAACTTCTGCTCTAACCTCAGCTCTAGCCCAGCTAAGTTCAGCTCTAACCCAATTAACCTCTAACCCAATTAACCTCTAACCCAGCTAACCTCAGCTCTAACCCAATTAACCTCTAACCCAGCTAACCTCAGCTCTAACCTAACTAACCTCTAACCCAACTAACCCATCTAAGCTCAGCTCTCACCTTCTCTTTGTTGCCGCAGCTTGTCCAGTTCATCCTTGGTGGCTGTGTTTGTGTTGGTGGTCATCTGTATGGTCTGCCTGAGCTCCCCCTCCCTCTTCCTGTACTCCGACAGCTCCAGCTGCAGCGTGCTGATCTGGGCTGAGGCTGTGCTCAGCTCCGTGGCTAGATGCACCTGCAAGTGTACACTCAGGTGTGATTGACAAGGTTCACTTGGTAGGTCAAACATAAGAAAAAATAATTTGGGGTGGAGCTTGGAACCAAAATTTTATTCAGTGGCCAGGTGAGTTCAATGTTTTAAAAAAATATCAACTCTCACAATTCCATAGAAAAAAAAAACCCGGATAAATTAAATTTAGACTGCTAGAACTTTGTATAGCTAAAACAAGATGCTAAAATGAAAAAGGGAGAAAGTCAGATGATTAGAGTTACCTTCTCTTGCTCTAAAGCTAGAACTCTGGCTTGTGACTGTGTTGCTGTGTTCTTATAGCCCTCATTTCTTTGTTCTAGAACTGAATGACTTTGTTCAACATACCTAGCACAGATTTTAAAATTTAATTAGCTCAACAGTTGATGTAAGTTCTGTTTCATTTTCTGTTTTCATAAAAATCATTATACTATCCTAGACCAGCTCAAGTGGAATTACTAATTTATAGATTTTAAATTTTCAACGTTAACATTTTTCCTACTTTTGATTTTTCTCTAGCAGGTTGGCTATTCTCTCATTTTGTTCTTGCACTTTGTGACTTTGGTCGTACAAGTCTTTCTTCAAACGTTCATTTTCCTGAAACATGATACAAATTGTCAGAGAAAAGATTTATGCAAGGATATTTTTAAACAATCTATTTAAAATTGTCAGCAAAATTTTCTGCTTTAGACAAGGTTTTAATACAAAGAATCAATAGACTGCTTATTTTTGTTACTGCTTAATATTGTTATAGATAAGTTTAAAGATCCTGACATATTGGGATGTAAAATCACTAAATTAACATACTTGCACAGAATAATCGTTTTTAAAATGTTATTAAGTAAAAGATAGATTATTGTTATTATCATTCAATTTCTACACAACTTTCATCTCTGTGGACCTTTTCTTCTTCCAATTCTACATCAAAATAAAAGTATTTTTGTAATCTTAAATTTTGGCTTATGGGACATTGACTAACCTGGACAATTCTTGTGATATTCTGCATTAAGACATTGGCCTCCATGGATGGAGCTGGCATACTGGAACCATAGGGTGCCAGAGCCCCAAGGGTGTGACTAGCTGAACTGACCACTGTAGTGTTCAGATGCTCTATCTAGGTTCAAACACGCATAAAATTATACTTAGATGATTTGGTTTTTTTTTAATAAAGTCATGATAATAATTCAGCATGCAGATGCTTTATTTAGGTTAAAATACACATAAAATTATACTTGTATGATTTTTTAAATAGAAGTAAAATAAGTAAAATTATTTTTAAATAGAAGTCTTGATTATAAATCAGCGCAAGGGATTATTTTAACATTTACTCCAATCCACATTTCATGTATTTTTCAACAAGTTTTCTAACCAACCCACCTTTTCTAAAATCTTGTCCACCTTATCGGACATTTTGGACAGTCCAATCCTGACCTCTGTGTTCTGCTGCCTAGTCTCAGACAGGAGGGCTGGGGCTAAGGCGTCTGCTGAGGATTGTTGTGGAGGGGCTGAGACTTGGGGGGCAAGGGATACAGGGGCTGGTAACCATGGTTACAAAGATGTCAGCCATCCCAGAAGTAGATAAATCCCATCACCAGTGTTAACCAAGCCAATCAGAGGAAGATGTGTTCAGGCAGGCAGAGAGTTAACAAGCCATGCAAGAAATGTATAAACAATGTGTTAGTTCAGTAAGAAGGAAATATTTTTTTACAGTGAAAAGGGTGGTAAGTTTTGAAAAGTAGCAAAATTTTAATGAAAATATAAATGCTTAGTTACACAATTAAAAAAAAAATTGTATCCTAATGCTATTATGGCATAATTGTGTATAATATGGATTTTTTATTTTATGTTTGTATGAACATTTTTTCAAATATTATTTAGAATCACAATTAGTTATTGTATTGTTTGTTTCTTAAGGTTTATGTAATGTTGTATAATAAACAAGTCAGTGATATAAAGTAGCTATATAAAACCTTCACACTTATGTCATCTGCATGCGGTGTATTTATTTGCTTTTGTTTGGTCTACTGATACCTTTGTTTACATCTAGTCTTTGTGAAAGTTGAAAGAACAGAAGAGGAACTTCCTAAAAGTTTCTAACATCATCATTATTATCATAACTCCAGTTAATTGTCTGTGTCTTCTCCAAACAAAGACTTTTTGTATGGTGAAAAACTTTAGAATTTCGGTAGTAGTACTTGTTAGCCTTCAACCCTAGTATGTTTTAGGCTGTTTTCTTTTACTGTCACAGGTGCTAACCCATCTTTCTTGTGTCATACTTCAAGACTATATACCAGGTGTTTCTTAACCTGCCTCTTTTGTCCAGTGGATTCATGTGACAGCCTTTATGATGCTCATTTGTTTGCTGCCATAGTTCTTCATTTGTAATAGAGTTGAAGCCAATGGATATTAAATATTCTTCTGGGTATGTTTAGACAAGCTTTTATGTTTCTTATTTGATCTTATGGTCCTCTGTGTCTTAACTCCATAAATGATTTTACCCTTAAATTAACCTTCAGGGATTAAGTCACTGAAGCCCTCACATATTTAATGTATAGTGGGAAGTTGAGATTTTATGAGTCTGAGACAGCTACACTCAAGACTCATGGCTCCTGTAGGGTGAGAACTGTCTTAAGCAAGATTTAACATATGGCTACCTTAATTGTAACATACCATGCACATAAATTTTTCCATTTTGAATGGTGAGATAAAGGTGCTATAGTGATTACCTGACACTAATATACATAAGATGCATACAAGTGTTGATAAAGTTTAAATGTTTTAATTTTTTTTTTTTAACTATTAAAAAGTGATTAAATTATTTTATCAATGTTGTTAGGGTGGTAATTTTTTTTTTAAATGGAATATACATATAATTAAAACATAAATTCTTAAGGTTGAATCAACAATATTTAAATATTTGAATTATCTTGAAATATGTATAAAATTAAAAACATATTATTTCACATTATAGTTAATTAATTAAAATATTCAGCTTAAAAAAATGTAGTTATTTATAAATTGATAAGTTGTTTTTCTTCTTAAAAAAAAATCATCACTTTAAACACAAATTTAATTCTAAAGTTTTCAACATCATTTACTCTTTTCAAGCTAACAAAAAAATACAACTTACTATGCCAGAAAAATTAGAAACACTAAAAAAAATAAAGTGGTTAAGATTACCTCCAAATGCTGAAGATGCACCAGGTATTCCACCCATCATAAGACCCTGACCTAACAACTGAGCCTACAAACAAGGAAGAAATGTACAAGTGTTAATATAATGAGTTGTTTTGTTTCTTTTTCAAGAAAAAGAAGAGAAACAAATCAATAATGTTTGCAAGAAATACCTGCTGTTGTTGTTGTTGCTGATGTAAAAGTTGTTGTTGTTGTTGCTGCTGCTGTTGAAGTAGTGCCGCCTGCTGCTGTTGTTGCTGCTGTTGTAGGTAATTGTTTGGATTCTGATAGACAGCCAGCTGCTGGGCTCCAGGGAGGTCTAGGTTATTTCAAAAAAGGACAAAAAAATTTGGTCCATTCAAAGCACTGATTAATACATACTCATATGCTAGCAGCTTTAGGGCAATATTTTTTTAATATACCAAAAATTATGGTCCATTTTAAAGGTTAATAAAAAAATTAAAATATTTTGTGTGAAAAGTATTTTTCTAAAATTAAAAATATGATGTAAGAGATAATTTGGGATAAAACAAAATGAATTTCTATTTCTGCTGCTCAGAATTTAGATTAGCAGAAAATATTTTCTTAATACTTACAAGATAAAAAAAATTCTAAATCTTGCATTTAAGTGAATGTGAATTTTAGCTTTTGTAAATATAAACAAAGTGACAACACAAGATAACACAAGTCAAGTCTCGGGTCATGTACCGAAGGTCAACTCAAACTACTCACTCTGTAAGAAGGCTGGCTGGGATTGGCTCATCATTCCATCACTAGTCATCATCATTGGCTGATTGGTCATCATAGGGAGGGTTTGATGGACAGCTGTGGGCTGGGTCTGGGTGATGATCACATGACCAGATGGAACTGCCATGCCCGCGTTAGACAAGGTCCTGGGCTTGGTGGGTAGGGTTGGTTTGACAGTAGGTGCGGGGTTTGAATGATCAATGTGATGCTGTGTGTTGGAAGGGATCAAAAGTACTTTAATAAAGCTGATGTCATTCATATTGACCTACGTTTCTCTTGGTGCTAAACCCACCTAAAAGTAAGTAAACTCCCTTTTCAGATCTAATAATCCATTGGGCAGATGTTATAGAGTTCATATGTTCAAATTCATAGGGCAGATAAAATTGAGTTCATATATAGTCATGAACTCAGAGTATAAAGGGATGGTGTGTTCAGCACTATGTCCAGCTCCTTTTACTTTTCCTAATGTGAGTCAGATGCCCAACTGAGCTGGGTGGACATGCAGTTTGGGAGTACAGAGTGAGACTTCAACTCGAGAGCTTTGGACTAGCAGTCAAACACTCCACCACACCATGCCATAGATCCCCACATAAGCCTTTCTAAAATAAGAATAGCTGGAAAATGTGACCTTACCATCTCTTCATCACTGTCATCAGGCTGTGCTGGCACGGCCCCTTGGAAAGGTAACATAGGCTGCCCCATTCTAGCCATGCGGGAGATCAGCTTGGCCTTGTTGCTATCAGGGGACTGCATTCAAAAATTTTCATTGTTAATTCACGCATGAATATTATTGGCTTCAAACACAAGATTTAGTTCAAATAAAGAATTTTTTTAATTGATAGGGGACTGCATTTAAAATTGTTTCAAGTAATTTTTTTTTTTAATTTGACAAGGGATCACATTAAAAATGTTTTGGTTAATGTTTTTTTTTTACTTGATGCTCACTGATCTGCTTTTAGATATATTTTAATTAAAGAATTTATATCATTGGCACAATAGTGTTCAAAATTGTTGGACTTTATCAAAAGAATTTTCTTTAACTAACAGTTTACTAAATGTGTTAAAAACTAAAACTGAGGTACTGCACAAGGGCTAAATTTTATCTTATCAAAAAACATTTGCTTAAGTTTGAATTGGGATGTGAGTAAAACAGAAACATAGTAGAGTTAGAAATAAGAAGAGACTTAAAAAGTTACCTGTGAAATTTGTTCATTAATGGACCTGGTGCGTGACTTGACGCCATCCTCTAGGTCATCATGTTCAGGTAAAGGAACCGGTACAGGTGTTGGGGCAGGGGTGGGTGCTGGAGACTCTTGTGGTGACTCACCCTTCTGTAATTTTACCTGCACCACCACAAATAGCAAACCAATAAATCTGGTAAATTTGCTGTTTTTTTTTTTTTTTGCTGTTTTTTTTTTTTTTTATTCTATTCAATAGAATAAGTTAAGTATGTGAGGACGATACTTACTCTTACAATTTGAACCTGAAAAATGAGAGTTGAGTCTGGTGGAATTCTTTCTCCAGCGCCCTGAGCACCATAGGCTAATGAAGGGGGAATAACTAACAACTTCTTTGCCCCTTTCTTCATTCCCAGCATTCCTTGATCCCAACCCTTTAAAAAATATTGAAAATTACAGTCTCAGGCAAGTGATTTTTATAACTTTGTAATATCAATAAGTAAGATAAGAAAGATAAAACCCAACCTTGATAACCTTTCCTCTGCCAACTTTAAACCTGAAGTTATTGTCTGGTTGAGATTGGTCAAAGATCTGAAATGTCAATGGACATTTTAGGCTAAATTAAATAAAAATGAAAGAATTTAAATAGAAATTGAAATTAAGTAACTATCCTAATTTATAAAAGGCCATGTGCGCTCTTCTCTCTCTCTCTCTGTCTGTCCGCAAAATATTTTCGCCGGACATCACGTCAGAAACGGCAGCGATATATGCAGAACTTTATACGGACTTTTGTTGAAAATAATATGTTAGATGTTTTAAATGTATAACCACAATTTTAGTTAAAGCAGAAAAATAAAAATTAAAGGCGTATTCGAATGTAGAGAAACAGTATTATTTATGCAACCGGAAAAGCATTAATATATGTGAAAAAGAACGCATAAAACTGTGACGTCACTATTGCTTATACATTAACTAATGACGTCATCTGCCGTGTTTAGAATGAAAAGAAATGAACTATTTCATTCAAATTTGATTTAGATCTACGTACACTATGAAATGTATACAATACAATTTTTCCGGCCTAAACTCATAAAATTTATTTTATGTATTTGGATTCTAGATCTAGACTAAATCTAAATCTAAATCTAGGCAATAACTAGATCTAGACGTAGACGCTAAGATCTAGATTTAGACTCTAACTTCTCTAAAATCAATTCCAAAAATAAATTTCTATATTAGGACTAAACTATTTCAAGACTTATTTATTTTATACAAAATCTTTGTTTGGAACTGGTTAATTTGGGATTATTATGCTCGGGCTAAACTTAAAAAAAAAAATTCTATTAGGAATCTAGATCTAGATCTAGATTGTCGGGTGTCCGATAGGGCACTTCCCGGCGCCGCAGGCGCTTCAAATTTGGCATGATCTTGCCTTGGTGCGACAGAACACGGGGGCCGGTTGGCCGAAAAGTCTACGATGTGGGGGTCAAAACTGACCTCGACTGACCGGTACCTTATATGAGCTATAAATCGAAAAAAAATGTCCACGGAGGAACCTCTTCATAACTCTTGAGGTCGTAGACCGACCTTCGGGCGAATTAATTAAGCATTCAAATTCTCAATGTTTTCGAAAGCCTAAGCGAAGCTGGGCAGCATGCCTAGTATAATATAAGGAGCTTTAGTAAGCTCTGGTTTTTTTATCAAACAAGTACAAACCATTATGGTCCATTCTAGCCTTCATTAAAAAAGATGTTACATAAAATGGTAGTGAGAATTACCAATTACCTTTCCAAAAGTGCCGCCAGTCAAAAGCCAGCCAATGTATTTCACCTCTACAGAGTCTCCAGCCTCCAGAGGTCCACCTTCACCCAAGGTCAGCTCCTGCTGGACTAGTTCTGTGATAGGTCCAGGTGCAGAGTTTACTTTTGCTAGGGCTACCTTTTGATTATGTAAAGATAAATGTAGTTCAAACAGAAGAGCTCACAAATATGGCAATACTTTTCTAACCATTGCTTGAAAACATTTGTTTTGTTACTTAATAGGCTCTGGACAGTGCTTCATTTTTCAATACCTCTTTAAAATGTCAACTTAAAATACAAAAATAACTTGCCTCTTTGGCAAATTTCTCTGCAGCATCAGCAGATTCAAACATAATGGACCATGTCTGTCTCGCATCATCATAAAAGCTGGCATAGTTATTTTGTTGGATCTAAAACCACAAAAAGATCTTTGAATGAAAATTACATGGTTTTGCTTTGAATATAATAAGACAAGTAACAAAATAATTTCTAAAACCTTGGGTAAACTAATTTTACTTTTTTTTTTTAAACTCTTAAATTATTTACATTTACTTACATTAAATGCAAAATTTAAAGTGATTTTAGCATTTGTAACTTGTTGCTGACGAGTAACATACAGTAGTATTCGATACTGAAATAAACATAAAACAGATACAAATCAACTAATGATACTAATGAACAAGTGCTATTTAATAGTACTTGTTTTATAATGGTACAGTAAGAGAGCTATTTATAACCATGATTAAGATAATTTGCTTTATCTGATGAATTTGACCTAAATAAATCAAAATAGGTTAGTGTTGTAAAAATTAAGTTTATAAATAACAGAAGTCAACTATAAAGAGTAAAATCTATTTTTATTAAAGTAAAAAGCACTGAAGCAACAACATTCTAAAATGTATCTGGTTTCCCAGTATTTCTTCCATTTTCAAGCTGTGATAAAATATAGTGAATACAAGATGCATATGTAGAACACATAAACATGTTTCCCCATACTGCTAACTTGTCTACAAACACAATAAGTGTTTGCTGATTTGTTGAGAGAGATGTTACCCATATTGCTAATTTGTTAACAAACATGTACAAAGGAAGTAAACAACAGAAGTACTCACATCTTTTGCACCATGGTTTGCCAGTAATGCTGCACCAAGTTTTCCTTGTGAAACATATTTACCTTCAAGGCTGAAGATTTGTTCACACAGTTTTACTTATTTTGATAAAATACTTAATGTAATTATCTAATTATTAAATAATTATTTATGACTGTTGTAGTTGTAATTGAGATTTTTGTTAATTTAATATTTTATCACATACTTGTGAGTGCAAATTTTACTGTTATGTGTTTATCCAAAACTTGCATACGGTTCAACATTAAAATTTGAATTATAAGTTGATATTTAACTTATAAAATGAAAACATATTGCACTTACTATTTATATGCATGTACAACACTAGCAATCACAACTGCAGGGGTTGCACCTCCATCTGGAGTTCCTTCTATAATTTGAAGTAGAAACAATAGAACAAAATGGAACTCACAACATAATAGTACTCTTTCTAATATAAAAAATGTAACTTTTCTGAACAATGATAATAAAACAATCAATCAATCCCTTAACCCATATTGGAGTTGTTCGGGCACCACATCTGATTTTTTCATAATTTTCTTCCATCTGACTCAGTACTTTGAGTAACCCTGCAATGGGCAGCCCAGTCCAATTTTTAATGTCCTCCATCCAATGACATCCTTGCCTTTCACAGACTAATTCATTTCTATGATCTCTGTATGCGATTCCTAAGAGTCTGCATAAATATCTTATTTCCAGACCCTGGATTCTTATTGGGGGTGGGGGGGGGGGGGAAGGGGGATGCGGTTGAGGGTCTATGCCTCACATCCATACAGGAAGATAGACACGACCAGTCACCACATGAGATCAACTTTTGTGCCAATAAAGCCATGGCAAACTTTAATTATTTGTCAATTCTTACCTTTTTTCTTTGGCTGCTTAGGTGCTGTGTATGTTAGGGATTCATTTCCTCCTTGTCTGCTGGCTTTATCCATCCCAAACAGATTAGCAAGCTTGGACCTGAAAAAGCCAATTTAAAACTGAACAAAAGTGTTGCATTTAAAAGGCAAATATATAAATTTTAAATACTAAACAATGATTGCTCTGATTTTTTTTTCATTTTAAGTCAAAAATAGTCAGAATAGGATGAAGTTGTTTTTATTTTTTAAGATACATAAAAAAAAACAAAATAACTGAAGTTAACCTATCTCCTTAACAATGAAGCAACTATCAATAGTGGCTAAAATAAGTATCCTATAGGTAACCAATTAGGACTTGCAACAACATTTTAATATTTATGTTAAACTAGAAGCAAAGAATCAAGTCAATTAAGGTTAGATCCTTGATCTATGGTAACTAAATAAAGTTAAAGTAGGCCTACAGTTACTGTTTTCTGGCAATCCAATAAATAATAAAATAAATAATATTATTAATACGGGCCTAATTATGTAATGACTAACATTTAAGCCTGACTAAGTAAAAGTAATAAGCTAATACTAATATGACCAATGGACCCCAACATGAAAAGTCTAAAAGATCCTTTAAAGATTTTTAAAATCATGTACAATGTTATTAAAATAGTATGGTTTGAAAAAGTTGACTTTTTTTTGCCTGACTGTGCTAAATATTTGACTTGTATATATTTGACTTTTTAGCAATTTTGGTAGGCTAACTGAACAAATTGTTTAAAAAAGGCAAACACAATTAAGTTTTTTGTCTTCCTGTGATAATGGGGACATAAAGAACATCCTGCAGTCAGATAGGCTAGGCTATAGTTTATAATTTTCTTAAGGCAGCTATGAATGAAGGCAAACTAAATAATTTTTAAATAGTTAGCTATGTAATGTATTAAGCCGATGCTAGCCGGAATAAGATACGCATGCGAAACGCATGCGCAATGGAAACTACGACTTGCCTTCGCGGCGATGTTTTCGATGGTACTGCGTATGCGTGTGTTTACAACCGCAGAACCCTAACACCAACCCCAATCCTATCCCTAACCCTATCCCTAGCCCTAATGCTATCCCTAACCCTATCCCTAATCCTACCCCTCATTCTAGCCCTAACCCTAGGTCACTGCGCATGCGCAGAGCTATCTTTTGCCGACTAAGTGGAGACGTTGGGGAGAAAAATCTTCTTCCGAGTAGTCACTTCGAATGTAATGTATGTTACTAGATCTATGTATTAGTAGAATCTACTATGTATTAATGTAAAAAATAATTGAATGTATTCAATTTATTGACAATTCAGACATTGGATTGATCAATCATTGATCATAATGACATAATGAAAAATAAATAATGTTAATGTAAATGATGAATTGATTGAATGATGACTGTGTGTCAGACTCTGTCACTTGTGTGACTAACACTTAAACACTAACTTATGAAACTAGTGTTGTAATGATTACACACCCTCCTGATGACATAAAATCCTGCTCATCATCTTCAGCGTTGAAAAACATAGCGAACTACTGGGAAAAATATACTTCAGTTTTTATCTAGTCTAGTCTAAATAGTAAAATCAGTAAATATAGGAGGGAGGCAAGTCTCTACAGTGGTCATATGAGCACTTCCGTGACCCGGAAGTTTATTAGAGAGAAAAAAAAGAGTATCTATTGTTGTTTTTATACTAGATCTATAGCTTTACAGTATATTATGCAATAAATATAAATTCGAAATATATAACAAATTATCACTATAGATCTAGTATTTTTTTTAAAAACCATAACAACAGATTATAATTGTAAAAAAAGGGGTGTGTTTTATGTTGGCAATAAATTTGGAATAATAGCTTCTCCCAACTAATATTAACTCTTTAACTCTAGTGTAAACAATAATGGCGACTTCCATTGCCATGGTCATGGGTCGCAGGCTTTGCTCCAACATAAAGCTGATTCGATTTAAATTCGAACAAAAAAGTGATCGCATCAATAGAATTATTCGATTCAGGTGACTGTCATAACTCAACTATTTTCAGGTTTTGATCTAGGCCCTGTAAATTACTTTTAATAAAAGCTTATCTCAGTGCCTGACCTCTGCTTTCAAACTTTCAAAAATTTCATCATGTGATCTGATGTCTGATAGATCTAGATCTAGTAGATCAGCCGATCCTACACTATTCTCAACGAGACTGTCGTTGAGTGGCTTATCAACAGTGTCGGTATATAATAACGCTATAGATTTTTTCTCATTTGATTCTGTCGTTGAGACTCTAATTATAGTTATAAACTGTAAAAACTAGCTAACGGAATAAAACCATTTCGATTAATTAATCGCTTAAAATATTTAATATAAGAAAAATTAAACAACCATTCATTTTACAGAGCTAATAATAATTAATATTATAAAAAATGTATCTTCTGTCTTTAAAATTGAAAATTAAATTATTTTTAGCAATATAAATTAATACAGTGGATTGCTGAATTTAATTGTGATCATAGTTATGATTAATTTTAGAGATTGTATGATTAATTTATACACAATTTAGAATTACAGAATATTGATTATTCGGTATAGAAAACATTAGGGTAGAGATTACTAAACGATATAATATAGGATTATGTAATATAGAATATATTAGTATATTATTATAGAATCTATGCTATACAACAAGTAATACATGATATGATTGCAAAATAGAAAAAATACATAATATAAAGGCCCATTTTTTAATCGAATTTAAGACTCATTTCGTTTACAATATGTTATTACAAATATAAAATTGCAGAATACGTAATAGCTATTTTTATCGAATTTATACATAGAATGTGCTATATAATCTTAAGAACATGATTATGTAGTGGCGTAGGTACAAGGTGTGCCAAGGGGCTATACCCCCCCCCGATATATATATATATATATATATATATATATATATATATATATATATATATATATATATATACATATTTACTGTACTCAAGTAGTACCCCTAACCAGAGGCGTCACAAGGTTGGGGGGGGGGGGCGGGGCTGAGGACTGCGCAAGGTGGCAAAATTTCGGGGGTGACACTTGGCGAAAAATAGCAAAATATATAGAAGAAGTAAGCATTTTGCCAGTTCAATAAATGACTAATGAGAGTTAACTGTACTAATAACTGACTACAGATAAAAAAAATATACAATTAACTGTGCACGTTTAAAAACTATCATTCAGGGGGGGGGGTGAGGGGAGATGACACAAACTGCAAAATGTACAGGTGAATACATGCTTGTTGAATTTTTGGATAACAGATTTGCTAAGCGACGACCGGAGAGAAGCTGATACCAAAATCTAATAATTTACGATGAAAACGATGCTTTTTTTTCACATGAATTAATAGGTGGATTATGTGCAAAATTTGACGCCATTGGGGAAAATGGGAAGTCACCAAATGTAGCTATAAATATATATATATATATATATATATATATATATATATATATATATATATATATATATATATATGCATATGTAGAATTATTTATATTTATCTCTATGTATATATATAATGAAGTTTTGCTTGTTTGTTTGTGGGTTTGTTTATGTCCTCTATGCAGCACTACACCTTTCATCCTATGGCCATGCAACTTAAGTTAAGAATACCACTGGATATATTTCACAAGCACGGTGCCCCAGCAGGGCGCGAATCGATTCTATATATAGATCCCTATATAGGGTATATATACGTAAAAGTAGATTGCGGTTTAATCCCGTTCATCCGCTCGCCATAAAACTTCAGGGGAGGTTATTTTTTTTTAATTTTAACAGGGCGGCGCTTCTGGAGGGTGCAATTTTTCTCTACACAGTTTGTAAAAAACAAAACGGATGCTGTTTGACATCGTTTATCTGAGTGCCGTTAAACTTTCGAGAGTTAATGAAAACACTCACGAGAAGGTTTCTGCGAAAACAAAAATTAAAATTTATTATGGGCGTTTCCCTGGAGGGTGCGATTTTTGTTAATAAACGGCTTGGCGCCTGAAAATCCAGGGCCGCGATATTAAAACTGCATGGGGGCTAAGGTAAAAAAGCAACAACAGGCGCAGCCGCCGGCGCCCCGGATATTACGTAACCCGAAGCGCCCCGTGCTACCATGTGAACACTATGACGCCTACGTTCGTTTTTTTTTTTATTTATACACTAAAGACACGATGGGCAACAATTTTTGACTATATGGAATCAGGCGCGTCTGCCGGCTCCCCGGCAGGAAGCGATTTGGCGCCCTGAGATATCCTAAGGTTGTGTTAAAGAGCACTCTACAATATTGACCCTGTGGCACACGACATTCGATGACAATTCGTTTGACCCGATGCGCCACTGGCTTCGGGAGGAACACTATGAGTTTTAAAAGAGCGCCCTACAGTAGGGAAATTTTTTGTCTACTGCACCACTGGCGTGTGGTCTAGCGCCCCTGTGTGGGTCCCTCATAAACACTATTGCGCCTACGTTCGTTTTAAAGAGTGCGATACATTATGGATACAATGGGCTACTGTGTGCGGTAGAATTTGCGCCTCAACAACTATGATGAAAGCAATATAACACCGGCTTTGATTACATTTAAATTGTTTAGATTTAGAAATCAATGTCAAGCGTAAAAAAATACGTGATTGCTAATGTAATTATGGAATCCTCTTAAAATATTGCGTCATTCTGTCTTCTGAGACCGCAGCAACGCGCGGGACGGGTACGCTGGTTTAATATATATTTCTTCTATATAAATAATTCTCTTCATGGATACCATAGAAAACACCAAGCTGTAAGCGCCCCTAGCAGCCCCCTCTCTTTCTCTCTATCCCTACCACCCCCATCCCTACATGGTCTGGTGAGCTGTGGTTCAAGCTAAATGTTTACAATCGTAGAACCGGGTTTAGTGACAGCTATTAGGGGCAGATAATTTAGTTTGAAACGATTTTAAACTTAGTGGAGGTATCTCAGAGGGGGCTGCTTTCACGAGGAGGGGGGGGGGAGGATTTTTGGGAAAGGAGGGTGGGGAGGGGGGTTATCGTCCTTAACGAGCTACTGATAGTGTTTTAAAGCAAATATTTTCAGTGGCAGCATTGTTACTGTCAAATTCACAAATTATGAATTACTGAAAAGTAGAAAATGAAACAACAAAATAGCGGCGTATGATAGCGGCTCGTAAAATATAAAACACAATGTAAATACCTTTGTTATACCTACGGAAAATAATAATATGTAACATGGATTCCTGAAATTTTGCGCTGCTTTAATTTTTAACGTTGTGATCCTCCATCAACATCCATACTCTCCTTTAGTATGTTCAGGCTTTTTTTTTCATTTATTGGAAGGGATGATCGGAAAGTGTGACGACACATTTTTGCTTTCATCCGTTATTTCGGGCTTTAAAAGATTGTTTTGGTATTAATTCATTTATTAACTCAATGTTTATCGAGGTCAGTACATATTATAATAAACCGGGAGTGATCTCCCCTAAACTTTCTCGAATATTCTAATATAACACTACGGGGAATGGCAACTCGGGATATAGACATGATTTTTAATCCATTTTAAATACTTAAACTTTTTAAAATAGAATAAAACCTCGTAGAAAAAAGAATTGCACACCAAGTGAACGTCAAATAAAGATGTGCATAATAGTGCGCAACATTATTAGTACTTTATAAATTTACGTGCGTTTTTTGAGAAATCGGAAATAGCGTAAATTAGTACTTCCTGTCAACGGAAATTACTCAAAATTTGACAGAAGGTAGAGAATTAGATCTTTTACTTACATGTGAAATTTCATTTATCTATCTGCAATAGTACTCAAGTTATAGGCTTTTGAAAAATTCAAAGTAGAAAAAGTACCACTTTCTGTTATCGGAAATCACTCAAAAGTTTATACGGATCTATGATTTTGATAAAATACTTATATATGAAATTTCATCAACCTAGCTGTAACGGTACTCAAGTAATCGTGTTTACACACAGACACACACAGACACAGACATACGGACAAGATTGCAAAATTATGTTTTTCCGTATCAGTGAGGTGTAAAACGTCGAGATTTGTAAAAAATCTCGATTTTTTTTTTTGCACGATTACAAGACTTTCTCTATACTTCGTATATACGAGAAAGTAAAAATGGTGGTGTGGGGGGGGGGGGGGGGGAAGCGAAGATCTGGCTTTTTGTGAAAATTTGTTACAATTAGAGAAGGGGGGTTTGGTGCAAAATCGTCTGAAGAGTGAGTCGTGGTTAATGGGTGACCACTTTATGATTGTATATTGACGTCACCATCATTTTGGGCGGTGGCTTTATGTGACGATATGTAACGAGAAAAAAGAGGGTTGAGTTAATGGCGTAGCATTTATTTTGCATTTTTTAAGGATACAAATAATAAAAACACTGCTTATTTTGTTTTACATGTGTGACGACATTGTGTTAACCAAATGTATTGAATAGTAGGACTTACAGATTATTAGTTCTCTCCCCCCCTGAAGCAATTACCCCCTGTCATTTACCCCCCGCCAAGGAGGACATCTTCCCCCCCCCCCCCCCCCCCCCCCCCCCCCCCCCCACGCACACACCTCTTAAGGTACAGCTGGGGTTAGGGTTATGGTTAGGGTTACGGCTAGGGTTAGGGTTTGAGTTAGGGTTAGCGTTCTGGCTAAGGTTAAGATTATGGTTAGGGTTACGGTAAGGGTTAGGATTAGGGCTAGGGTTAGAGTTAGGGCTAGAGTTAGAGTTTGGGCTAGGGCTAGCGTTTGTGCTAAGGTTAGGGTTATGGTTAGCGTTAGAGTTAGGGCTAGGGTTAGAGTTAGGGCTAGAGTTAGGGTTAGCGTTCGGGCTAAGGTTAGGGTTAGCGTTAGGGCTAAGGTTAGGGCTAGGGTTAGATTCAGAATTAGAGTTAGTGTTATGGTCAGGGTTAGGATTAAGGCTAGGATTAGGGTTAGTGTTATGGTCAAGGTTAGGCTGAAACCTAAGTCTAGAGTTGGTTTTGGTTATGTG